AAGTCCAACTAACTCGCTTGTGACCATCCTTCACACTCAAATGACCACGCTCAGGATGTGGATTGAAAAGGCGGAGTGCAGCTGAGATCTCTCAAGCATATCATCAGATCTGATGAGAAACGCCCTTTTGGCAACGAGGGTCCAACCCCGACACTCATGTTCCGAATTATATCGCCTGGATTCTCCACCAAAAATCCACACCCGGGGCTTGAGCTAAGTGGAGTTCCTTTGGATCCATTTCGGCGGCAGGGAGGATAAGTTCCGAAGCCAGTGGTGTTCTTACTTTCAGTCAAGTTCGGTTTCGCTTGCCTGCAGATGCAAATGCCTGGAGATACTCGGAGGCTCTTCCCTCACCGCCCTGTATGCCTGGCCGACCGCACGGGAAGAAATCACGGAGGGCGCTAGTCAAGCAAAATGCTGGGCACGGCACTGCTTGGGCAGACTACCCACGCTCTTGGTGGATGAGTGCACTCTGGAGCTAGGACAAACATCATCGCTGGAAGGAGCGGTTTCGCCCAAGAAGTGCCCGCACGAAAGCTCAGCAGTCAACCACCTGTGAATCCAGCCACATGACACCCGCGCAGAATCTTGTCCTTACTGCCTTGACTAGTCACCCTCAAGTCATGTCTGTGTGCTCCGAGTCCCCACATGCTCCGTGACAGATGTGTTCAACCAAACCCACTGTCTACACCTGCAACGTTTGCTCATCTCTGGTCACTGAAAGAAGCAACAACAAAACCATGCGCTGACATCATGAACCACAGACACACAGACACACAGACACAGACACAGAACGACGCAGACACAGACACAGACACAGAACGACACAGACACTGACACAGACACAGACAGAGACACAGACACAGAAACAGACACAGAACGACACAGACACTGACACAGTCACAGACAGAGACAAAGACACAGACAGAGAAACAGACACAGACACAGACACAAGACACAAGACACAAGACACAGACACAGACACAGACACAGACACAGACACACACAACACACAACACACAACACACAACACACAACACACAACACACAACACACAACACACAACACACAACACACAACACACAACACCCAACACACAACACACAACACACAACACACAACACACAACACACAACACACAACACACAACACACAACACACAACACACAACACACAACACACAACACACAACACACAACACACACCACACAGCACACAGCACACAGCACACAGCACACAGCACACCACACGCGACACACGACACACGACACACGACACACGACACACGACACACAACACACAACACACAACACACAACACACAACACACACACACACACACACACTCTCACTCACTCGCTCACTCACTCACTCACTCACTCACCACTCACTAACTCACTCACTCAACAAATCAATCCAACCGGCCCTCAACCTAACAGCGTTTCTTGGTTTCTAGCTTCTCACCCCAGCATTATACCGGGGAGTCAGTATGCAGCGACACTTCTCAAAGTATATTGACCTCATGGATGGCAATGCGAGGCAGGAAGACTGAAGAGCCCGCGAGCGCAGATGAGGGGCCTCAGTCTGCCAGAAGATCGGGGCACCTCGCGCGGCGGTCCATCTTCGCCTGCATGGCTGATGGCTGTGAAGTTTATCGCGGGCCCCTAAACCCTAAACCCTAAACCCTGAACCCTACACCCTAAACCCTAAACCCTAAACCCTGAACCCTAAACCCTGACCCCTAAACCGTAAACCCCAAACATGCCAGTCTTGGCTTTGGGTTTAGGCACCCATGAGGCCTGATCACGCCGCAAGGCTACCCAAGTAGCTGCGATCATGACGACAAAAGCTGCAGCGCACGTCCTGCAAGGGAGAGAGGGCTTTTTTAGAGTGGGGATTCTAGAAATCTAGACTCCTAGATGGGAAGAGAGGGGGGAAGAGATCTAGACGGAGCAGATGAGAAAGGTACAGGATGTACAGGAACAGCACACAAACACAAAAAGCAAAAAGCAACACAACAGGCTCAAAAAGTAGTTGTGGTTCAGTCCCGTCTCCTGGTATAGAGCCGATAGCACTCCACCCCTTGGCAACCTTCAGGCTTCCGGAAAAGAGAGCTCCAGATGGGTTCGAAGATGGCCACGGCCACATAAAGAATCCCATAAATCACACCAAGGTGTGTCGTTCCGAAGACCAAGCGCAAGGCCGGTGGGACAATCCCAAGGAGTCCACCATAGCCGAAAGAGGCCAGCGAGTTTGCGATGCGCACAGTACCTGCATCCGGTTCAGAGGGAATGGCCAGCAGCAGTATGCCTGCCGTATACACCGTCAGGGATGCAAGAATGTATGAGTAGACGCCTCCCCACCGGTACTTCCGGGTCCAATCTAGAGGGATGCAAACTGCGAGGCGTCCAAAAGCGTTCACGATGCCAAAGACGCTGGTGAGTTCCTTGCTGCTCACATGCACCTCCGAAGCCAGGCTGCCTTCGCAGTCTAGAAAGCTGAAGCTGAAGCCGATGGCTACGCAGAAGAGGACCATCATGTACACAAAGTCCGAACTCTTCACGCAGCTCCACAAGCTCCGTTCATCGGCATCCCCCCCATCCTCTGCCTCCGACTGATTCATCAGGTTTCGGCAGAGCCAGAAGACGACGCACATGAGCAGGCCCACCACGTTAAAGGTAATGATGGCATAGATCAGGTACCGCATGATGGGATCACCACCGCTCTTCTTCAGAGCGTAGTAGGCTTGGGTCTGGATGGTCATTCCGAGTGACATGCACACTTGCACGCAGGCTGAGATCTGCCCAACGTACTTCACTGGGAAGACGGAAAGAGGTGCAAAGGAGCCGATGACATTGAAGAAAGTGGCTGCAAAGCCAAAGCAGATGTAGCAAAAGGACAAGCCTCCCATCGTACTGACAAATTCAGGGAAGTCCGGGGTCCAGATGAGCTGCAAGATGATCCCGAAGTCGGCTATGACAGTTCCCAACAACATGGTCGGGACACATCCTTGAGGGGGATGTTTCAGAGGTGTCTGTCATCAGTAGAACAACGTATAGAAGCTCAACAAAAAACCCCTTAGGGTTGGTCAAAAGCTGCCGAAGCAACGGCACGGGTCCGAGCCGATCGTAGCACAAGCCTGGTATGAAGGATAGGGCGCAGGCACCAAAGTTGAGGCAGGAGTAGAGGAACTTTCCTTGCGCCTGGACAGGCGTGAAACCCTTTCAATTCTTGAACTCTCTCGCGTCCAGAACTCAGTGCCGCCAGCTGGGTGCGGGCAACATCCAACCAATCTCAAGCCCCAATTTTAAGCCCCAACCCTAAAACGGTGCTACATGCCCCCGCCGGTTGCCTACGGCGCAACTGTGCACAGCTTGATATTGGTTATAACAAACAACGAACAGATCTCAGCCGAGCGGTAGGCCTTGTTTTCCGATGCGACAAACGGTCGATCAGCACTAGCACACTTGGAGCGCCTCACGCTTGAATCATCATGCAGCTTCTCCAACAACAATCGGATCAACTATGGCAAATATCCATCGTACATTTACTGGCCTCGTATGTCTGAACAGCTCCACATCTGCTGCGCATATAATGTAGCGTAGCGCTACTTCTCCAAGCACTCCGCCTGTCTGGCAGACAACCTCTGGACTACGTGATCCCTCGCCGTCTCGCGCTACGCATGCACATCCTACATGTGGGGCCCACCTTGTGTCAGAATCTAGCATCGCGTGCAGGACCTGCAAGCCTTGACAGCGAAGAAATAAAAACCGCTTGCCTGGCTACAGAACAAGCTGGACGTCGTGCGGGAGTCCTACCCCATAAGCTCACATGGACTCCTACCTTCGAAAATGAATCTAAAGTAAGAGAACTTCCGGATGCTCCGGTCGTTCCCTCGGGTGCTGCTGGCTGAGCCATATGTCAAATCGAACTCCACATCTCCTGCGCAAAAAGCTCTGATTCCGAGCTGCTTTCTTCCTTCACATCAAAATCTCAGCAGCTCCACATCTTCTGCGCGAAAAGCTCCCATTCCCACATCCTCTGTACAAAAACCTCCCATTCCGAGCTGCCTCCTTCCTGCACAGCACAATGAGGCACTTGAACATCAAGTGCTGGCGCCTCACCATCGGGCGGAGGAGCATACATCTGCGGCCGCGACACAATGATGGGCCTGCCATGCAGCTCGAAGCCATCCATACACAACGCCGTGCTTGCGATCACGTCGTCCACGAACTCCACAAAGGCAAACTTTCCCTGCCCCCGGAAAGGAAAGTTCACTGACAGAGTGACATCCGAAATGCCTGGGTACTTCTCCAGGAAGCTCGGCTGTGCGAAGAAAAAACTGTTGAAGGCTTGCCACAGCATTGGCACATCCACCTGCAAGGGCATTCTAAGACAACACGAGTTTGTGCATGATACTACAGTTGACGAAAGCCACTCTGCTTGCATGGGCCTGGTTCTGCACAAGGTTACCGACATAGCACGTCCGCGCTGATGTTTGCGGACGAGGAGGTTGAACGGCAAGCGCTGGCGCCTCACCATCGGGCGGAGGGGTATACATCTGCGGCCGCCCCACCATCATAGGCCTGCCACGCAGCTCGAAACCATTCATACACAACGCCGTGCTGGCGATCACGTCGTCCACAAACTCCACAAAGGCAAACTTGCCCTGGCCCCGGCAAGGGAAGTTCACTGACAGAGTGACATCCCAAATCCCTGGGTACCTCTCCAGGAAGCTCGGCTGTGCGAAGAAAAAACTGTTGAAGGCTTGCCGCAGCATTGGCACATCCACCTGCAAGGGCGTTCTAAGACAACACGAGTTTGTGCATGATACTACAGTTGACGAAAGCCGCTCTGCTTGCATGGGCCTGGTTCTGCACAAGGTTACCGACATAGCACGTCCGCGCTAACGTTGGCGGCCGAGGAGGTTGAACGGCAAGCGCTGGCGCCTCACCCTGAATCGGAGGGGTATACATCTGCAGCCGCCCAGCCATCATGGGCCTGCACGCAGCTCGAAACCATTCATGCACAACTAGAGTCTTGACCCTACCATCCAGCATGCTCCAACAACAACATGGCTGAAGCCCAGACTGCCTTTCGTCCGGATCGCTCTGCACGCCGCGATGACGTCGTCTTTTGGTGGGTCTCTTCGCCGGGCTCCTTGAAACTGACCGCCGTGAAGGGGACAGCGTGCACCTGCCCCACCGCTCAGCTCAAACCCAAGATCGTAGGACACGTTCGTCGCATGCTATGCCATACTTAGCCGCCCCTCTTTGAGTCCCTGCGGACGATGTTGACTGCCTCAGGACTGCTACCTGCTTACAGCGCTCAATGTTCTTGCTAGTGATTTATTCCTGGCCGACGATGAGACTTGGAAACAGTGTGTATCAGGGATTCGATGCGCAACACCCAACATGGACACATTTTCACGTTTTTTGGTGATTTTGGTGGGTCCCTTCGGCGGGGTCCTTGAAACTGAGCGCCACGAAGGGGACAGCGTGCACCTGCCCCACCGCTCAACTGACGTGCAGGGTGATAGGACACGTTCGTCGCAGGCTGTGCCATACTTAGCCCGCTCCCTAAAGTTCCTGCGAACGATGTTGACACAGCATGCCAGTGCCTCACTAGCTACAGCGCTCAAGTGTTCTTGCTAGTGATATATATATATATATATCCTGGCTCACGATGTGGCTGAAGGACTTACCATGGACTTACCAACACTGAGTATCCGGCACTCGATCCGCAACACAGAAACTTTGTCAGAGAAAGCTTGGAAGCCCAGACGGCCTTTCGTCCCGATCGCTCCGCGCGCCGCGACGACGTCGTCTTGTGGTGGGTCTCTTCGACGGGGTCCTTGAAACTGACCGCCGTGAAGGGGACGACGTGCACCTACCGCTCAGCTTGCAACTATGCCATAGTTCGCCAGCTCCCTGAGGTGACACTTCTTTAGGGTTTAGGGTTTCTGTCCAGCAAGGACACTTTGTCACGCACAGCTTGGAAGCCTAGAGGACCTCTCGCCCCGATCGCTCCGCAGGCCGCGAGGTTGCCATCTCTTTCGCAGCTGCGTGCTTGAAGCTGATCGTGGCCGCAGAGGCGGCGAGCACCTGACCAGCTGTACATAGCTGTACTGTGTAATCCCTATAAGAATGTGCCCGACAATTGAATGGTTGCATTCCGTTGCGGAACCCATTGCTTGTCTCGTGGGACTCTACAGCTGGTTGCTCACAACTCCTGCGAGCGTGATGCTCAATGCATCCCCCATGGTCATTGATATTTTGAACTTGCGCTCACGACACGAGGCCCAAGATTTCAGTTTTGCTGCTCCCAAGGCCTCACCACAACAAGTGCGAAAGGAAAACCAGCAATGACCAACGGCAATCTTCAAACATCGGCCATCAATCCTCCGCAACCGCAATTACCCTCCACGACCCAGCATTGCTAGTCAGCATGTCGCCCGTGGAACGCCTGGTTGGCCCTGAAGGTTGTGAGTCTGACGCCGGGCCTGCTACAACAAACATGAACATGCACCGTGAGCTACATAGACTCCTTGCTGACAGTTGCCATGTGCCCGTGCTCTAACGACGTTCGGAGCACTGGGCAAAAGGGTCGGCTAAAGAACCTAGTCTGTTCCTAAAGTCTGAAAAGGGCTTGCCAGGGCCCAAACAACTGAATGCCAACGCGAGTGCTGCAGCGCATCGTTCGCGACTCCTGGCATGAATCCCACGTCTGCGATGCTCAAGGAGCGTGGCCCCAGTCAGATCGGCTCTGAAATCAACGGCAGAAACCCCGGACGCACATCCCGTATCATTACTTTGATTATTATGAGTATTATTACTACTATTTTATTAGTATTGTCATTTTTTTGCTTATAAACAACCTTGCTTGCCTTCCGGAGCTGGACGATCGGCCTCCGCTCGGAGCACATTTGTTTAAAACACACTAGGATTTGCGACAGGTGTTCACAAGGAGCCCTGCCCCCCCCCCCCCCCCCACCGGTCAACAACTCTCTCACTCTCGGAAGACGCCATCTGAAACTTGACAACTGCAGCATGCAACATGCTACAAAGTTCTGCTGACATTGGCGCGGGCACCAAAGGAATCTATAGGCCTGTCGCTGGGCCACGTTGCCATCTGGGGTCCAGACCCCTGCATCGCTGGCCCATTGTGACCGGGCAAGGCGTGGCAATGGGCACGGCCACAGCCAGAGGACTTTTCTAAGTGAGCTCAGGGCTTCTATGACTTCAAAGAAGGGACTTTATGCGCGATGTCTGGTGCCAAGCAGTCCTGCTGGACGAATAGATGTCAGATGTCATGATGTCATGCCATGCTATCGAAGATGTGAGTACAGTCACATCTTGCAAGAGCTGAGCCAAGAAAGCGTCAGCACATGACGCATTGAACTGACAGGTGTGGGATCGGAGGAGATGGTGTTTTAAAGAGTTGAAGAGGCGGCACTACGGCAGCATCAGCTCATGAGCACATAGGAGAGCTCCAAGGAACGCGTTTTTGGAGAGGGGAGGGTGGGGCAACACGATAGCTTTGATGGCAGGATTTCCAGCTGCGTTCAGGATCGGGCAGAGCCTTTTTGGCCGAGATGTAAAGTAGAAAAGCAAGTTGGGGCTCCTACGTTCGCTTTGCGAAACAGCGTTAGCGACAACGCCTAACTACGCATCTCCTTCCACAAACGATGCACCGGAAACCAACTACCAATTCGCTACTTCAGCGGCAAAACACAACTTGAAAGCTCGCAAACAGGAGCATAATTCGTGGCACGATGCAGAAACACCGCACCTCCGTCAGCCCATAATAGTCGTTGAAGTCGCTTACCGACACCCCATTGGTCAAAACCAGGCCATACCTGGCACAGATTGTTGCCAGAGTTGAGGCTGCTCTTCAGGGTTTAGGGTTTAGGGTTTACACCCATGGCATCATTCAATAGTCCAAGGGGCTGAATGACGCCCAAAAGGCACGATGCCAAAAGCAGCAGCCGTCGAAACGTGTAAGCTGGCAAACCCAATGCGCTGCTGAGGCTCATGTTCTGGGTGATGAAAGACCTGGCAAGGTTGCATTGGCAATCTCTTTGATCCTAGTCATGCCTGAGGGGCTGCTTGATATATGTCCAGCCGAGCATCGAAATTGCCAAGCTCTCTTGAACCATGGCTCTCGCAGCCACGAGCTTCAGATGACGACGGCGAGCGACTTGCAGTTTGCGAGATTCTGTTTGCTGCTGCTGCTGCTCTGGATTGCAAAAGCATCGCCTTCACAAGTTGAGGGGCTCTGCAAAACTTAAGTGTTCCCAAAGCCAGACCTTCACATGCGCATGCCTTTCTAGGACAGCTACTCTAGGCCCGTGCCTTTCTAGAAACAACTACTCTAGGCCTCTATGTTGCAACTCAGCCATCCGCAAGTCGCTTGAACCAACTACCACGGAAGACAGAAAGGAAAGCAGCAAGGCCAGGTCTACTCATGCACGTGATATCTATATATGAGGGCCCCTTAAAGGGAGCACGTTTATAGCTTTTATAGCTGTATAACCTCCAAGGAAAACCCCTTTTAAAGGAACCTCCGCAAGGGACCCTCATCAACAAAACGACGTGTTCGCCCTTCTTCCCAAAGACACAGAATGCTGGTTCCAACCGAGGACAGGACAGCCCAGCGTGCTGGTCCCAAAGCGGCCACCCAGCATTTCAACGCCTCACCGTGTTCTCACATGAGCTCAATACCCCCTCGACTAGGGAAGATGCTTATGAACTAGGACTATGAACCAAGTCGTCTCTTCGGAGTGCCTGCTGAACATGAGATGGGTGATGGTTCAGAGTGTAAGGGGAATGGCCCTGTTGCCCATGTCTTGTTGTACGATATAGCAGGGCTCCTCACCGTCAACAGATTAGAATTCAGAGTGCAGCAGCTGCAGCCCTTTGAATAGCTTTGGCGCGCTGCCTGGCGGAGCCACGAAATCCCACGTCCTGCATTGCGCTTTTCGTTGAATCGGTAGGGCTCACAGGGCTCACAGGGCTCAGTATGGATATGGAATTTGGGCCGCCGAAGTCTCAGGGAGTGAGGGCATCCGCGTCTTCCATTGCGAGTTTGGGTTTGAGGGCTTTCGACTCAACCCGGTGGGGAAACGTGTGCTACACTGATGCTTGGAGCTGAGGATGAGTGGCAACTCGGGATGTTGCTGTGGCACTTGCTAACGCAAAGAGGCTGAAACTCGGAACCCTGCACCGAATGCGCCTGCCATGATCGCCTTCAGCCCGCGTCGCAGTTTGCGCCATTCACACCTGCTGGGGAATGAGATGATGCGACATACTTAACCTCCTACCAGGTCCAACCTATCCTCCAGACTTGCAGAGAGCGCGCCATGCTCCCCCAAAGTTTTGAAGTCAGTCAACCGAAGCTTAATGAAGCCCAAGCCAAAGCGCAGCTTGCGAAGCCCGTACTGCCACGTTCGAAGCGTGCGCTCCGAGACAAGCCTCTCAGTCCGGCAGTAGGCTTGCGGGGCAACAGGAACGGACAAACTCAACTCCCCTTTGCTCAAAGTGCCGCAGTGCTGCAGTAGGTTGGGGCATTGTGATGCACTGTGAATTTGATGGGTTTGGGAGCTCTGGTTTGTAAACCGTCATGGGATCGAGGGCTGTGGGTTTGGGTTGAAGCAGCCCGTAAATCACGTGAGGTGGGCAAGTTCCAAACGAAACCTCAAATCATAAACTGCAACCTTTGCAGGAACATACGAGGCCCCGAAAGACGAGCGATGGCCCTGTGGCTGCCAAATCCCGCAAACCTTTGAAGATGTCAAGAATGCATTGGGTATCACGAACACAAGAATTGACAGCGAACGTGGCGCTCCATGAGCTTTGGAGCAAGTCGAGCTGCGTCTGCGAAGCCCACTGAAGCGACTTGTTCTTGCGAGCCTCTTGTCGGGAGGCATTGGCAGAATACACCGTCATGCTTGGACTTGGGCGGACTTTTGGCAAACACCCACTAAGCCACCAGGCCTGCGCCAACCACGATGTGAAAGCGCCAGCGGCGCATTTGGAGGAGGCCTGCTCAGACCCCGGCCCAAACCCCCACGGCTCCAAAAAGCAAAACGCACTTTGCTGCCAAAATCCCAAATCCGAAGCACCAGGAAGAAGCAAGTAGTCAGCTGAGTTGCAAAGAATGCCCGACCTCAGTACCAGATGAGTCTGCTGATCTGATATTGCGCTGCTATGCGGAAACTTCCCCGAAACACAATCAAATCCATACGTACATACGTACATACGTACATACATGCATACATATACATTTATACATATATATATATGTATATGTATAGATACATACATTTTATATAATATATACCAACACATATATGTATAGACAGGTTATGCCCCCCTCTGAATTTTCGTTAGGTTGGCTAAATCCATTAACCTATTAACCCACTAACCCATTAACCTGTTCACCCATGAACCCACTAACCCCTTAACCCAATCATTTTGGCCGCATGGATGGCTTAACCCGAATTGCTGTACCGGTGACGCCGCACACGTGGCAAAGCCGCATTGTCCCCTCACGCTGATTTACGGCGTAAAGCCGAATTAGCATGTGATGCCGAATTGTGAAGCCGAATTACCCCTTGACGTCAAATTGTGAAGCCGAATTGCCCCCTGATGCCGAATTGTGAAGCCGAATCACCCCATAACTCCAAAGTGTGAAGAAGGCCGGATTCCTCCCTGATGCTGAATTAGTTCTCTGATGCCGCCCGTGTCGGCACCAAGAGGATGCTTGCGAGAGCGATGTTGGGGCCTTTACTAGACCAGCTTTCGGATTGAATTTGTGCCCCAGCGAGTTGGCGGTCACTTGGGCACTGGTTTTTTCCCACAAAAGAGCCCGATGTGAGCGTATTGTCTGATTCTGTCACGTCTCACGACCAAAATGCGTTCCCCAACAGCGCGTCTTAGGGAGCCATTTTGTGGCGTTACTAGCGCATACTGTGGAGGCTGTTTGGGAGGCCTTTTGGGTTGAATATGCGCTCACTAATTACTTTTGCTCCTGTTGGGTGACGGGTGTCTTCCTCTGTGCATTGCGCATGCTTCTAGGAGTGGGCGCGTGGGAGCTGCTCCCAAGGAATTGCATGCGCAATTCCCCTCGAGCCCACAACCTGTCCAGGCTCGTCGATTATACTCACTGCCGTCTTAACAGGTACAGAGGCGAGGAACCAAGAAGAGGCTTCTCTGAAAAAAGAGGCCTCAGGGCGCATAGGTGCACTTCCTTTCGAGTCAGATGCGGATGACTGAGAAAACACGCTCACTACAGGTTTCATTCACACTAGTGCCGAATGACTGCCGATTCTTGGCAAAAAACGAGGTGGAGAAGGCAAGCCAAGTAGACGTCCTCAATGCGTCTTCGCAATGCGTTTGCGCCTGCCCCGGCCATTGTCCTCGCAATGCGGCTTCGCAATGCGTCTTCGCCTGCACATTCGGCTTTGCAATGCGTCTTCGCCGACTGATTCGCTTCCGAATTTGGCTTCGCAATGCGTCTAATCGGTTTCGCAATGCATCGTCGCCTCCTATCTTCGCCTCCCAAGGCGACTTCGCCCAATGTGGCTTCGCAATGCGTCTTCGCCTTCTAATTCGCTTCGCCGACTGGGCCCTTTAGCCACTAATTCGGCCTTTGGCTTCAATTCAACCCCTTCCCCCCCCGCCGGCTATGTATACACATATATATATATATATATACATGTATACACATACACATAAAATCTGTGTTCATATCTGTATCTATATATATATACAGTATCTAGAATCTAGCTTATCTGACTACCACGTACAGGTGGGGGGCTGGCGGAAAGTATTTACCCCTATCTGCGACACCCAGCAATCTCCACCTACACCCCTTTGCATCCAAAGCCCCGCCATTCAACTGTTTAAACTCCTCGTCCCGGTGGCCGTGCATGGCCCAGGCTCCCAAGCGCCGTCGGCGACGCTGCGCCGCCACAGCAGCACTCAGATCTGAGGCGCGAGCCTGATAGGCTGATTACCAGTTTGATTGAGGCAAGGCTCCAAGAAGTGCTGCATTCAACGAGCTTCTTGATCTGCAAATAATCAGCACAAACAAGGCTCAAAGACAACCTGCAGGTCCAAGTGCCTCCAATGCCCGTGCTTGTGCCACCCATGCAGCATAGGCCCGGAAGAATTGGGCGAGTGTCCGCGCATCAACGACGCCCCGCTGCTGCTTTGCACCCCGACTGGCCTGAGAATGGGCTCTGTACGTTTCCTACTTGCCTCCGCAAACTCGCAGTAAGCCTCAGCAAGTGTCACGACGTGCAAATTCGCCTTCCGGAACTTAGTCACGCGGTACAGCCGCCGCAGCTGCCGCCGCTGCTCAGCAACCTGGCTGCGCAGCGCACAAGGCCAAGGAAGGGCTCAGAAATCTACATCACAGGTAGGTACGCATGTTTGGGCATATGCACATGCGCATGAGATCTGGCACACTTCTATGCGCAACACATGTACACCTTAGATTCGTAGATCCTCACCATTCCCATTATCCCTGGGCCTTGTTTGCCTGGCTCCTCCAAGCCAGGAGGAGGGCCGAGTTCCAGGCCCGGCGTCGGCCGAGCCTCGAGAAGAGCCTACTGCCTCTATAAACCCGCCGAGAAATTCATGGGTCATATGAGTCAGATTCATATTTTGTAGACCCTATTCATATCAAATCAAATCATAAAGATATTATTCATAATAATAATAATAATAGTAATAATAAAGGTTCAAACCCCATGTGCCCTCAACCGCCACAAACTGCAGGCCAAGAGGCCACATACCTGCCACTATTTGCCGAAGCTGCAGCCTGTCACAAGCAGGGTGGGGCGACGCCTCGAGGCCTAAGGGTTTAGGGTTCAGGGTTCAGGGTTTAGGGTTTAGGGTTTAGGGTTTGGGGGTTTAGGGTTTAGGGTGCTTTTTTTGCCACCCGCCTGGGATCGCTCCGCAGGGGACAGTCGAGGTTTCCGCATTAGACTCTTGAGGGGTTTAGGGCTCAGCCCACGATGTGCCTCTCTTTCCAGGCTGCCATGCACGAGGCAAGTCGCTGGAGCTTGGCGCTGTTTGTCTTCTTGTTGACATGAGACCTGGCATCAGCTCTCTGTTCTGCTTTAAAGTGCCATTTTTCGTTACTTTGGGGGGGTGAAAATAAGCTCCAAACAGCTAGTCAGCTGATTCTTTAGGTAACACACGGCTCCCAAGTGTGAAGATTCGGCTGACCCTGCGACTCCAAACCCTGCACGGCTCAAGGCTCCAGAGTTACGCCCACACGCCACTGGCACAAAGCCTTCAGTCAGAAAGCAAGAAAGCACTGCCTCCCGCCTAGCTTGTCCCCGTGGGATCCCGGACAGGAAAAAGCTTATGGCAGACACAACTCGTTATTCTTTTAAAGGGTTTAGCTGTAAAGTTTGGCCAAAGCCATGCCAGGCCACGTAAAGCCAGCTCTGAAGACTGTGTGGTGCTTCCAGCGCTCAAGAATCCTGAGGGCGACTGGGTGATGTCTACACCTGGTGCAGCCCTCCATCAAAGTAGCTTTGTCGTGCCATCTCAGTGCAACCCTAAACCCTAAACCCTAAACCCTAAACCCTAAACCCTAAACCCTAAACCCTAAACCCTAAACCCTAAACCTGGAAAGTTGTTGGCGGTCCTGGAGAGCTTCCACCGGTCAAGCAGGCGCGACGCAAAGAAGCTGGAAGACTCGAACTCGTACACCTCCATCGCTTTCCCAAATCACTCCACGCTTCCATTAAGTGGGAATGCTTCATAGTCAAGCCTTCCTGAAAGCTCCATGCCATGGACTCAGGATGCATGAAGGGCCTTCGCCCACTCGTCAAAGCTTCTTGTCAGAGAGGATCTGTCACACATAGCGCGCACTTTCTCCTGGCAGCGTTCCCTGCTCAATACTGACCACATAAAAACTGGGAACTGCCTGGTGCTTTCACAGCAAAGCCAAGTCCACCGTGCACAGAGCATCACTCAGCAAAGCACGAGCCATCCACAGCATGACCCACCGCGCCTGCGCCTTGCTAGCGGCTCGCCTGAGGACGAGGTGACATCCGGTGACGCTTCCATTGGTTGAGCTGTTCGGCCGAAGCATAGAACACCCTAGAACACCCTCCTCTGCTGCAGGCTGGCGCTCCCTTCTGTTTCGTCTTCCTTGTTCTGGGAGGACCCCTCACGGACGGTGCTCGTTTCCTTTCCTCCCCTCTGCTCCCCTCCCCCTCCCCTTGCCTCTCCTCCTTCCTGTCTTCATTTCCATGCACGAATTCGATTGGGTGAGAAGGGGCGCTCTACACTGTGGAGAAGAAGCTCGCTCTGGCTCTGGCTTTCGCTCTCGCTCTCGCTCCCGCTCTCTCGCTCTTGCTCTCTCGCTCTCGCTCTCGCTGCCGATACGCGCGCGATGCAACCCTCAATCGGCAAACAGCCAGTCTTTGCAGTCTACATCGAAACTCTCAAAAGTTGGTTCTTCCGCGCCTTTGGCGAGCTCGCTGCGCTAGAACGAGGAAGCAGGCGGCGAGCATTGTCTGCCAAGGCTTTTGCGGAGCCACAGCATGACGAGTCGATCACAAGCACGGAGACCACTATAGAATAAGTACCCTCCCGAGGTCAGTACATCTCCCGGCAAAGAAGTCCGGACCAAACCTGCCCAGTGATGTCCATGACCAGGCGGGGCCGCTGCCGCTGCCACAGCCGCGCACGCTTGAAAAGCAAGGCCTCGAAGCTTGGACAGGGAGCAAGTAAGCCTAAGCAAGCAATGTACGTACTGTACCACACAAGCCTTGCTCTAACGACCATGCGAAGTCAGCTGCCACTTGCTCCCGGCCTCACGCCAGTGGAGGAGAAGCTCGCGCCGTCTGACTTGGAGCACTTGCTCATGCCTCCGGGCTGCGAAGAAGAGGCAAGGACAGGATAAGTTTTGCAGGAGCTTGCTGGCCAAAGTGATCTCCATGGGGGGAGAGCCTCTCGGCATCGCGCTCCGCGCTTGGTGAGTGTGCAGCGTCTTTGCGCTGCTCCCGGCGGACCTGCGTGTGGAACCCAGCACATGCAAGCTGGCACGGGTGGCACTCGCGACAAGCGTGATGACAGTTGGGATTGGCTGGTACCCCCACGAGTTTTAAAGTCTGCAAAATCGGTCTCCAACCCAGAGCATGTGAATGTCTGGCCGTTTGCGGTGCTTATGAATGTAAGTTGATAAAGCTACAGCATACGCACATTTCACATACTTGTTCACTACCCTCGAAGCCATGCAATCTACTCGAGCTTGCATACCTACGACAGGCACGGAAAAGCCGAAATATCTGTTCTGCGTGGTGGCTGCGAACTCCTGTCACAAGATGACCGCCACCCGGGCTAGAGCTCACCAGAAGACGTACATAGTACATGGCTGCTTTGCACGTCGTCCCAGAAGGGGTGTATGTTGCGCATAGGACAGCCTGAAGAGACCCCTGTCCAGGAGTCGAGAGAGCACAGTTCTCGGGTGGTCCTTGCTCTTACCGAACCTCCTCGACCTCGGGATATGCTGTGTTGGAGGATCTTCCACCTGCATCGGGTATCTTTGCCCGTTTATGTAACGAGCTCCATCCATGTTCGCAGGCCGTCAGACCATGACTGGAGCCTCCCAGTTGCTTGCTCCTCTGCAACAATCCTTTGCCTCATCTCTTTCAAATGCTCGTCCATCCTCGGAAGCTGATTTCGGGGCAGCTGAGCAAAGAAGAGACTAGCGGTAACGGATCGCAAGGGTCACCTGTTCGAGGAGTATTCATACTGCGCCCCGTTAGACGGGGCAAAGCGAGAACGTGTAACTCTGCATAGGGTCAGAACATGCCGCTACCGAGAGACCAAGCAGCTAAGCAGCTGCATACGTATTGGGAGGTCGGCTACGACTATCAATCCGTAACGAGAATGCATCCAAAGATCCCAGGGCATGCCGTCAAGCTGATGCCATGCTTGTGCTCATACCGGTACATATGCGGAGCACGCAGGTAAACACAGAAGCTGGGGACTTTCGGCACTGGAACCGATTTGCCGCCAGCAAGAGCTTGCTTCAGAAAGTCGTCGGGTGCGAAGCCACGAAACCAGAGAACAAGACCACCAATAATCCGCTCGACCATCCCTGGCAAGGCACTCTGCACTCCCAGGCGTAGGATGAACCACCCATCTGGGCCCACGGTGGCACGGAATTTATTCAGACTAAACTCAGGTGGATCACCTCTGCCGACACTTCGGGCGTCGCAGAAGTTGCGCCAGCAACGTGGGCCCGGCCGAAAATGTTGGATCGCGGCCTTCAGGCGCTTTGCAAGAGCACGGTCAAGTTGCAAAGACTCCTCGCAGTCCTCGCAGAGCCTTCGCATTTCGGATCCGTCTGGCTCCAGCACTGACCAAGGGATCATCACCTCATACCGCTGGATTTCGCAGAAGCAGGAGGCATGAAAATCGGAGCCCACGCCCGTGCAAGCAAGGATGCGGAAGTTTGGAGAATTCAGCTCTTCTTGGATGCGGTGTCCCACCTCTTCATCCGGGACATCTTCCGCACATTTTGGAAGGCGCAGGCCAAAGACGTTCACCACTGCATTCCTGGCCCTCCTGGAAGGCACTGCGCCTGAAAGCCGAGGAGAGGGTAGCCGCTTCTCCTGGGCTGCTGTTGAAGAACTTGTTAGTGCTCACTGTTATGAGTATGACGATTCCCGTCGGCATTTTCATGGCAACTTACGTCAAGTTACCTGTAGTATGGAGAAACTACGACTAGCAAAGCCATTTCAACAAAAAAGATGTTCCGTATCATCGCAACATAGTCTCCTTTTCCGACTGGCTGGGTGGAAATGCTGCCCAGGCGGCGCGGACCAGTTCCTTCCGGAGGTCGTCCTCCCAGTGGTGATAGGACACTGTCAGCGCAATGTGCCTCCGAGACTCTCTTGACAAGGTGGACGGTGCAACTGGCGGCGGGCGGTCGTAGCAAGACCCCTCGCGGAGGTGCCGGAACAGAGCGTTCCTGGATGGAAAAGCCACTCCGCAGCCTTGACACCGCGCCGGAGATGGCGGTGTCCCGAAAGATGCCTCGGAAGCCAGGCAAACCCTAAACGCTAAACCCCTAAACCCTTTTTCACACCTAAACCCTAAACCCTAAACCCTAAAGCCATCTTGAGCCATGGTGCCGGCTCCATCCGCAGCATTCCTCGCAGCTGAGGCTCCGAAGCAGCCAAGCCAGGCCAACGGAACCCTGGTCCAGCCACGCTCTGCATGTACTCCTCTAAGTACTGGAGCTCCTGGGCCCCCCAACCCCCACAGGCACAAACTCCTCAACTCCACTGTACCAAATGACGTCTCCCATCCTTGAGGTCAGCAGAGAACTCCAAAATTGCGACTTGAACGAAGTGGCAGCGTTTCGTCTTGTCCCTGACACCTGTGTTGGGCGGACGAGTGCTTTAAGTACATGTATGAGAAAACGGATGCTGGTACTGGCCAACAGTGCTGGAGCTGCAGCCGAAATGCGATATCGCACGTTGTCAAATTCGGCCAACCACTTTACGACTGCCTTGCGCTTTTCGGAGTCAAGAACCATGTCGCCGACGACATGCCGAAAGCCGATATTGGATTGCTTGCCCGCAATCTGGTTGTCCCAATACTCCCGAATGGCCTCGACACAGTGCCCAAAGCATCGAACTCTCTCGCAGAAGCTTAACGAACAAACGCTTCGAGTCAAGACAATCGCCCTTTCACCCCACATTACTGCACGCGGTCCTCGCGCCCTCGGTATGTGCTCCTCTTGTCGAAACTCCTCTCCACATAGACTGCATCGGGCGAAAATAGTGCGGCGATCCTGCAGCAGCTTGCGGCAGGAATTGTGACAAGACTGAGAGCTGCGCAATTGCACTTCCGAGGTTACTTAGAACATCCATGTCCTGGTCGAATCCTGGCCTACCCAAGCTGCACCGTACTCATCCACCACTTCGCAGACGCGGATCTGTGTGAGGACAGCCTGCAAAATACAAACATTGCCAATAAATACATAGCACGTAGCAAGCATATGGTGCGCTCGCAGTAAGTGCAGGGCCCCTGAGTTGGGCCATAAAAATGAACTTGAGGGGCAAGCCGAGAGGACAACGAAAGCTAGCCTGATTCACGCCTAGCCCATGCTTTAGTAGGGTTATGGCTGGGATGACACACACCACTAATCATCACCACCACCTCCTCCACCGCGACCGCCACGACCACCTCCACCACTGGTGTTTCTCCCTCTGAGGGCATTGCGGGTGAGGATGAGGCTGGAGAGGCACACGCGTTGTACGTCTCCGAATCGAAGACACACCATCACACCCCGCCACCGACGTTGCCACCACGACCACCCCCAACAAACATTGCTTGTGATCTGTGATTTGGCAACGTGTTTGCTTTTGACTAAGGGGGGCACTGCTTGTGATTTGTGATTTAGGGACCCATGTTTTGCAAAAATGTCGGTTTTCCCAAGTTCGGACTCATGTAGATCTCGATCTGAACCTCAAGAGCTATCCAAAACATGCGATTGCGAGAAGAAAGATGTGCGAACGGCATTCGTTGAGCAACATGTGCTCACGGAGACCGCGATCCAGTTCCGACTCTCCTACTAAAGCAGAGCATAACTCAAGCAGCTCCAGCTTGCTTTCGTGAATATCAAGTACTGCAATCATACTTTGGTTGACACTGGGCCCTTCCTTCTAAGCCGCCTCACCTCAGGCTTCTGGGCGTAGCGCGGTACCCTGCACTTCCGACCTCGAACCAGCCTGGGCCGCAAGACAAAAACCCCAAATCCACGAGAAATTTCGCAACCAAATCTTCACGCTTCCGAGAGTTCCTCCCATCGCCAAGGCGCATAAGAGCGGCCACAGCTGTCGTGCACAACTTGGTCCCACCTGGAACAGGATGACAGCTGCCGGTAAGCGACCCCGTGTACATGCAGCTATGGCTCTGTCGTGACTTAGGCACCATGGTCTCCGAGCCAGGGAAATGACACAGCTAGGCTATTTCGTGGGAGCTGGGGCTTTGCATGGCTTTGCACTCCTCGCCCTCGTGCGGAGCTTAGCGGGTCACATCTCCTGGGTGGAGCCTTGGCCAGCTGCGCATGGTGCAACGCAGTCGCAGGAAGGCCGCGCAGGGCGGCTGCCGAATGGCAGCAGCGGCTGAGCCGCGGTTCCAGCGCGAAAGGCGCAGAAGACCATGAAGAAAAGCGAAGCTAAGGCACAAGGAGCTATGGTATTGTGGAACAACTCCAGGGCTTGGAAACGTGCATTGTGGGTGGAGACAGCGCAGTCGCTGGAACCCAAACTTTGCAGAATTGCTAGTGCTGTTTCAAATCGCCTGCGGAACATCTGCAAGTGCCTACAGGGAATGAGGCACAAACCCGTGCTACGGCAGACACATCCTCATGGACCTGATTTTTTCCTGCCACTATCCCCAACCTCGCTACAGTTTCTGCGCCCACGCTCCGTGGCCTCGTCTGCCACATGGTGCCACCACGACAGCGCACTGCGCTGCTCGCGGCCTTTGGTGCTGTCCTCTGAGCAGGCAGCTTATACGTAGCCCGCCATGAAATTCCCAATGAATTTAAATGTTGATAAGAATAATGATAACAAGAATGGCAATGATGAAAATAATGACAAGAATTGACAATAATCACAAGAACTACTTTACTTCGAACATCCCCACCTTAGGGATTTGGATTGGGGTTGGGCATTTCAGGGAGTCTCTGGGGTTGGGCACTCCAGGGAGGCACTCCAGGAGCCTGTTGGGCACTCCAGGGAGTCTCTAGGTTTGGGCACTCCAGGAGACTTGGAGTTGGGCACTCCAGGACTTGCACCCCCCCCCCCCCCAGCTCCGGACTTATATTTTTTCCGCTGGCATGCGGCCGAGCAGATCCTTGTGACTTCCGTCAAGTGCAAGCTTTGCCTGGGCTACAAAGTAGTTCCTAGCTATTTGCCCCAACTATACAGCATGCTAAAGTGAAAGTAGAATCGATGTGAGGAGGGCTGAGCGCGGCAGAGTCTTGGACCTCGCCATGCGCAGCAAAATCATGAGCCAAGGAACGGGTGTCAGACGTTCGTTGGGCTTCTGAATTCATTTGGGTGCAGGCCATCAGCAGGCGACCCTGCGTCTCTCTAAGAACTTGTTGAAGCATGCTAGCGATCGCTTACCTTTCTGTAGGCCCCACCAATGCTGTTTCTTCTCCTTCAAAGATAGTTCGTGCAGATCTGGGCCGGGAGGGAGGCTGAGAACCTCGGCCAGTCGCTGCTGGTAAAGCTTTGTGTAAGCGTTTTCTTTTCCCTGAATTCTTTCTTGCAGAAGGGTGGCCCTCTTCAGCCACGGCACACCGTTTCCTCCAAGCTTCTGCAAAACGATGTACATGTCCCAATAGGAGACAGCACTCCAGACCAGGGTTTCCTCCAAGTGGTGCTCCCGAAATGACAGAATGGCTCGAAGGAAGTGCTTCTTGGCCTTATGGAGGGCCCTTCTGGAATCTGCCGAGCCGGGGCTGTGCCTTTTGGCAAGCTGTAGCTCGACTACGCCCATCACGCGCATCGCATTTCCGACCTGAGGATTCCTCAGAGACTGCAGTATCAAGGCAGCTCTGAGTGCCTGTGATCTCGCTCTGTGCGGCTCCAGCTGATCGTCGAGCTGTGCACTAACGTTCGCCTGCAGCATCAAAGCCTGTGCAAGTAGGCTGTTGTCTCTGCTTTGCGCCGGCACATTCCCGCATGCCTCTATGCAAGCTGCCGCAGCCGCGGCAGCTTGGCGAATGTTCCAGTCGTGTGCTTGTCCGCTGCATTGCAAGTATGCCTGCGCGTGGAACTCGCGGGCTCTCTCCAGGGCAAGGCTTGCATCCCTTGCTGGCCTCAGCCTACACATTGTTAGTTGGGTGACGTCAGCGCAACCTTGACTACTGCTCTCGCAGTCTGTCAAAGCCTCATTGCTGCGGCAGTCTGCATCCGTCACCAATTCACCCTCTCCTGGCACACGTCGCACCGGCGTTGACGACGAGCACATGACTGACACATCGGGCGACGCCGCACAGGCCAACAGCGGCACTGCAGGCACTGCTTGGTTTCACCAGCACAGTCAAAGCACTTCATAAACCCAGCCGAGCAGGACGTGGCTGTGGAAGATCTCGCCATGGCCAATGAAACTCCTGACACCCTGAAAATCATGCAACTCTTACATGGATCTGCTTGCCTGGTGTGCAACTACGTCGTGACGACTTGGCAGCTTTCGGCACTAAAGGGCCTCTTCAACTCAGCCAAAACAACGATTGAGGCAACTTCGAGGCTAGTGCGGCTAGTGGACGATGCCTCCTAAGAATCGTAAGGGACCACGCCCGATGCCCAACAGAATCCATCCATCCCCTCTGTGAAAGTTATAACGTTATGACCGTGTATTCGACCCCCCCCCCTCCCCCTCCCGCACACTCCCCCACACACCCGACCGTCGCGCAGAACTTCTTCCGCGCCCCCCCACACCCCCCGAGATAAAGGCTTCCCCCTTATGCATCCTTCTCACCACTTTTGCAGTTTTCGCCTTCGGCAGGTCTCTCTCCGGTCCCGGCAGTGGGGGTCGGCGGCATTCACGGTAGTCATTCATTCTGTATCTATTCTACATTTATATTTTTTGTTCATGGGGGTTTACGATCTTAGGGGTACCTTGTTGGGGTCCTTCAAACCTTTTGGGGGTCGATATTTGGGGTCCCTTACTATCGTAAACCCCCACGTCATGTTCTTGTACCGCTAGACAAGTGCTACCGTGGGCCCCGGAGCTTGGCAGATGTGGCTTTGGGGTCGTTGGCCTCAAGGCGGCCCCTGTGGTTGACCAGCAGACCCTGACGCCGCCGTCGGTCTCTCAGGTACCTTGGATTCTGCTGTTTTGGGGGGAGCTCTTCTTTGGCCTAGTTGGATCTTTGAGGCGTCGGGCTGGGTGGTCTGCAGCGGTTCAGGGTATTCCGCCAGCCATGATTAAGGATCAGTTGCGACGCGTCTACGAAACCCAGCCCAGTGGCAGCAGCCATTGCTGGAAGACGGGCTTCATCGTCCAGCGGCCAAGCCTGACATTGACAACAGACACTGACCAAAAGTCATCAGCCTTTTCTATCTCACCTCCCTCAGGTTCACTTTCGACTCTCACTGGCCTGTACAGGCCCTGCCGAACTTCGGTGTTGCGATTCCTTGCTGCCGCCCACTGCGCCTCGGCGAATGGCGAATTGCCGAAACGGCACCAAGCCGCCACATGAAAGAGCTGCCAGCTTAGAGTGTAAGTGCTGGGCAAGCGCACTGCGCATAATCTGATGCGGCCGCTTCTCGCCAACTCTCAGGAGGAAGGACCTGACTGTGACAATGACTCCTCGTGTCTCCTGCGCAAACACCGCTACTTCCGCGCGGCCCTTTCGAGTTCAGCAATCTCGCTGTGCCCCGTCGCAACGACTGCCGAACAGTGCCTAAGACCCGCACCACAGACGCAGCACACGAGACATACGATGAGCAGCAAGCACTCCCGCAACCTGCAACGGATGTGTGCTGACTCAGTGTGACTCAAGGACTCATTTGCTTCCGCTAGTGAACTGCCCAGCATGGGAAGCACGCGCGACGTGCCGGACTGCTATCCTGCGGCTGCTGTTCGGGATGCTGTAAAGCCTTGGTCCTTAAACACCAGGTCTCGGTGCAAGGCCCCCGTGTCCAAGCCTTCTCTGCACAGGCGTACAGCCCCATCCTGAGAGCCAATGGATACGGCCCCTGTACAGCTAACAGAACTTACGGAGCTTGAGGACCCAAGGGCCGGACAGGGCCGACCAGCCCCTGAAGGCTGTGCGGACCTTTAGGCAAGTTGCGACGAGAAGGCAGAGGAATGAAGACATGATGCTTCAGAAACCACTACTGTAGGCACATGATCCTGACTGCAATTCTGACTGGCCACGAAGAATTTCGCTGAGGCTCTGACAAGCTGCCTGCATACGACTTGGCCATCCCACTTCTCTGCCACATCCACCAACCGATTCAAACCTGCCAGCAAGCGTTGCACGACATCTTTCAGCAACTGAGACGAGTCAGCCACCGGTCAAAGTTGTGGCCACTGCTACAGCCAAGTGTTCAGATCACCACCTTCACTGTTTCGACCTGCAAGTGAGAGCCTGTGCTGAAAGAGACTGTTCCTAAGCCCCCTTCATCTGGTTCTTGGATACTGAGTCAAAACATCTGAGCATTCAAAACCCTGAGTACCCTGAAGAAGCTACACCCCAGGGACTGCAGGCAGCAAAAAAACCCTTAGCACCCGCCAAGCTTCTAGCAGGACTGGGGCCACGGCGGCAAACAGAGCACCAGCGCTCAACCCACCATCGCTGCCTCAGCTTTCTGGCCCAAGCGACTCTTCGGGTTTCGGGCTTCGACTCTGAAATCCGGGGAAGGAGGAGTCGAGACTGAGAGATTTAGAGTTCGCAACTGCCCTCGCACCGCAGAACAGGTGTCTTCAAGCTAGCAGTCCTTGCTCAGGCAACTCTCAATACTGATCAAGCTTTTTAAACTTTCAAAAACTCCAGCCACTCAACCCAGGAAAAACTCCCAGGGACTTGCATCCCATTTACTCTGACGCACCCCTCTTGGGATGGGAGTTTTCAATTCTCTCTTCACGATATTTCCCACATTCTGCCCTGTCTGCAGAAATTGTCACAGCGGAGTTAGGGCTCCGACCTTGACTGGCGAACAAACGTGGCCTTCGCTTCATCGGCTTCCCTGTGCAGGCTCACTCTCTTAATCACATGTCGGCCCGAAACAAACAACCAAGGAGCCAAACGCAGGCATGCATGACAGGTGCTGAAGAAAGACGAAGTTTGGATATGCGATATGTTGTGCCCCGGCCTCCTTCTTGCATGCGTGAAGGCCCAAAGCCGCCAGGCCCGCAGCCAGCGCAGCGCCCGTGAGAGGAGCACGGCCTCGAACACAAGAGCGAAACGCCAACCCTAAGGCAAAGCAAAGGTTCTGAAGTTTTGAAGCGAGGGCTTCTAATATCATCTACTGGAAGCCGAGTCACCTCCGCTACTCCCTGGGCTGCAAGGCGCCGCAAGAGGAGCAGGCGCCAAGTGGAAATCAATCGCGCCCGCCTGACACAACATGCTGCGTGTTAGCGGCTGGCATATGCCGCGACATGCTGCGACATGCTGCGACCACTTTCAGCATCGTGCCTCTGCCACAACAGCTGTGTGGCTGCAACCTGGCTGCTTCGACGCCGTGCTGCACAGTTGTGCCAAGCCATGGCGACAGTTTGTGCCCAAAGCGTGGCGCGGGAAGCAGCCCAGAGGTGCACAGACTGTGTGACAACCGACAGCCGCTTCAACCGCCGCTGCCAAGCATGTAGGACTTTCCGCCTGGTGCGTGTGTTCCGATAGCGCTCACAAAGAAGGTGCACCCCGCGTTTGTGGCGCTGTTCCAAGGCGCTCTGCTGCCAGGCTCGCAGGCATGAAAGCAGCAACTCCTCGGCATCGGCAGCTCTACATTCTCCAACGTGGCACCACCATTCTTGCCAAGCCAACCACTCGCAGCGTAGTGCATGCGCTTCCAGGGCATCCGAGACGGATTCCAGCAGGACGGGTACCAATACCCGGAACTCGCGGCCGCTTTGAACGGCTGCACACCACCACTCGAACCCAGCTCGCAGAAGCAAACTCAGGCGGAGTGTCATGCCTTGGGCAACACGCAGCCTGGCCAGTTCTAGCTCCTCCTGCACGACCTGCCAGGCACACCGGATGAGGTTGAAGCAACGAGGCTGCTATGAGGACCTGCCTGGAGCCAAGCTCTCCATGTTCGACCAAGCAGCCCTGTCGTTTGCTGATGCCGTCGGTATCTCGGTACCACAGCAATCATGAAGGCTTCACCCATTTCAAGCTCTAGCAAAAGCGTCTGGTCTGTCGACTGGTTGTATGCTAAGATGCGCCAAGCAACCTGACGGCGTCGAACAGGTGGATCCAGCGCCCCAAACTGTAATGACAGAGCCTGCCACCGAAAGTGCTTTGCAACTGCAGCTACCCTGGCCTTCACTCTTCACCAGGCCTTCACGGATGCAATCCCATTTTATTTCAGTCCGAAAAAAGGCCTTCGTAGCTACGCTGTAAGTTCACGCAGATCGAAAACTGTCCAGTATTGCTTGAAGTGTTCACACCTAATCATTGAAGGCTCCTCTCACGCGTCATCCTTTACGTCCTTGTGCTTCTGGGCTTGTGCTGTAGTTCACGTGTTCCCAGCACTCCGGGTCGTGGTGACTGCCAGGCTACCTGCGTCGGTTCATCGGCATGCATCACCACAGAAGAGGTGGCAACCCGTCCGCCTTCGCGTCGAGCCTCCTTGGACAAGCTCCACGTCTGGCGAAAGTCTCCTCGACTTTCGGCTCTTACGACCTCGTTGTCTCACTTCCAGGCAGTACCAGCATGCCTCCTGGCATTCTCAACGAGACGCGAGACAGACCTCTCAAAGATCGTCGTCATCATCGCTCGGGACTGGAACATCTTCCGCTCGCAGCTGGCTTGCTTTTACGTCGGTCTCACTGGGGGTACTAGACGATGGGCCATCCCTTGCTGCCTTCACTTGCAGTCCGTGACTTTGGGCTCGCTGCGCTTGAAGCACTGCAGCCACCGACATCCAAGGGTCTGAGGCCCTCGATGTCTCCGAAGGTTGGCGAGCACTGGAGACACCCTGGCCAACCGCAACACGAAGCTGTCCAACTGTCATACCAAGACTCAGGTTCAGCAGATCCTGCTTCAACTCGACCGGACATGTCGATGGCACCCCTCCTGATGGTCAGCACTACAGCCTCTCACTCGCAGATTGCCTCAATTAGGCTCTACCTACTCTCGAAGAACTCCGAAATTTGCGGGTCGGGCCCCGCGTCCTGCTTCTTGTGCAAAGTGCCCGATGAGCAACCACGTGTCATCTGCGCTCGCCGGAAAGTGTATCCTTGCAAGACTGAGAGCAAGCACGCGGCATGCGGGCTTCTGCACTGGTATGTCCGAGGTGCGGAAGCAATAAATGCATTGCTATCAAAACTGCCACAATGCCTTGCCGAGGCTCCGCAACCATCGGTCCATCCGTCCCGGCCGCGTCACACGGGCGTCCTCAGATTGCAGCGCCTGTTCCCCCCTACCCGACAGGATCCAACGGTTGCGAGTGCTGAAACAGACCCTGGAGATTGCTCCATGACTATGACACTTTGAGATCTACAGAAAACTCCTCGCCCCATCCTCTTCCTACACTTGGACTGAGAATTTAACTGTTTTGGACCGTTCGACCGAGGATGCTTTCTAGCCAGATCCAGGCCGGGGCCTGGATTTTATCATTAATGGCCCGACACAGGACAAAAAAGAAAGCCTGAATCTGAACCCTGTGAGGAGCGGTGCGCCACCCCGAACCTACCCTCAACTCGCGTGGACTCAGAGACTTTGCGGGGGGCCCTGTGCCAAGGCACTAGATCCTCGGCCGGCGTTCGGGACGTGGCAACGACCGCCAGCCCCGGAGCGCTCGTCCTCAGAGTGGCTATGGCTTTGAGCCAACTCGAGAAGGCCCGTGCGGGCACTAGTTAGTAGGCAAATCCACAAATGCCTCGTTGACCTGACACCTCTTTGCTTGCAGCTGACACAGACACCGGGGAGTCAATGCCATCCAGCAGTGTCAAGAATGTGGCGGCCATTCTGTTGTGGAAGCCCGTGTTGTCTCCAGCTGGCTTTCGTACAAACTCGTCCAAGCCCTCAACGAGCAACAGGGATCCCTGTGGACCGCCGCTTGCAGCAGCGAACGCCAGCCTCAAGCGCTCCTCGCTTTCACCCAGGTATCGCGAGAGCACATTTGAGGGACGAAGCCACGAGATTCGAACCCCAAGGAGCTCTACTTGTGAAGCCAACCATCGAAGCAAGTGGCTTTTGCCGCTGCCAGGGGGTCCATGCAGCAGCGTTCTCGGAGGCCAAGCAATGCCCATGCCATGGAATAGCTCCAAGTTGCGGAAATACTGCACAACGGTCGCCTCAAGTTCATGCAGAATGTCTTTGCACCCGATGACCTCGACACTGCCAGAGCTGGCCTGAAAACTTGCCTTGCTTTGCTTGTCGCTATGCGTCTGGAGACCTAGGTCCTGGAGAGGCCCAGACTGACCTGCGTCAGCGTTCAGGAAATAGTCACGGAGAAGCGGGTGGACGTCCGCTTTCGAGGAACACACACCGAGGACTGCAGCGTTCCATTTCAAGGCTCTGAGAGGCCAAAGATTCGACTGAAAGTCGTCCAGCTGCTTCCCGTAAACCGGCAGAGGGCCATCCAAGCAACCTAGAAACACCAAACAGTCTCCACACGGCTGTCCCAGATCCCCGCCCTCTCCACCCACACGCTGCCGCCAACCAGGCAGAAGGTTCGCAAGGAAATTGAAGATGTATTTGCCAAAAGTCACTGGAGAGCCTCCCTGCTGAAGCAGCTGCCAGCACATGTCCACAAGTGGCAACTGGATGACACTTTGGCCTCCCTGGCTTATCCATAGCCTTTCGAGCACCTGCACAAACGCTTGAAGCTCACAGGCTGGTGGGCCGCCTTCGAAGAGCACGGGCTGCGGCGGCTGCGGCAGTGCAAGTGAAGGGGCGCCGCCTTTTAGGGACACGGCTGCGAGGCACTTCTGCGCGGCCTCCTCTCTCAGGCACTGGCGTTCCTCTGAGCCCGCGTTGTGGGAGGACAATAGGTGCTGCTTGATTGTCAAGTCCCCAGCTTCCAGCGAATCTGCGGCTAGTGGCTCAGACACCTCCGAAACCTGGAAGGTGCACACGTAGCCCGAGAGTCGAAGCGCCAGCATCATCCCTTGAACTTGCAGAGGCGAACGGGAAAGCTGCCGCGAGATGGCCTCCCGCAAACTGCTCATCCCCAGGACGATGAAGGGCACCATGGCATCCTCTGCAGCTGCCACGTACGGGCCTCGGACCTCTTTGATACGCCTCCGACTGGGCGAGGGCCGGCGAACCTCCACACAGGACTCCTCTTTCAAATTGAAGATCATGGCGGGCCACAGCGGGATTTGGAGGCAGCCAGGTGGGATGGCAGCGTCCGGCAGCACCCAGAAGGAAGTTTCCATGCCACCGAGCTTCACAGAAATCGGGCTGTAATCAAAAGGTCTTTCGGGCTGCTCAGGTGAAGCATAGAGGTCGGCCAGCACATCTGGGTGTACCTTGGCCGTGTCCACCGGTGCCCACGAGTCGCGGGACAGCTGAGTTCTCAAGATCATCGCTGGAGGACTCGGCTCGCCAACACATCCTTTGGCACACCATGACGGCTTGGGCTGACAGCCTAAGAGTCGAGTCTTAACATGCAAGGGGTAAGGACATGACAAGCAATGACGGTTAACGGGTAGCACTCGCAGGTGACACACGCTTCGATGAGCAGCCGCTTCGCTTGATTTCCCTGAAGCATGAACTGCAGTCGGACGCTGAGCACATCAAAAGCTGTTCCGGCGAGAGTGCCACGGGACCACTGCCAGACTGAACGTTGAGGTGTGCCGCACATGGTTATGACATCTTGAATCTTTTCTAGCTTTCCAAAGTTACCAGTGCGAGCACCTTCCTGAAAACGTGGAACGCTCTGGCATGCTCTTCCCGCCTCCGCCGCTGGGCTGCTTGCACAGCCTGCTCACAGGGAAAACCCCTTGCCGGTTCCGACTAAGAGCAAGACTACCCATTGTAGCTCTTCATGTAGTTACTTCCTAAACTGGTTGTTGGGGGGGGGGGGGTTTAGCTCAGAAAGAGGACAGGCGCTAGCGAATCCAGCAAGTCCCCACCCGAGAGTCGAAACACAATTCCTGAGGAGACAACCCCTAAACCCCCAACCCGCAAACCCTTTCTTGCAACTGGGCTGGGGGACTAGCCAGTACTGAGAAGTCCACGCGCATGCCCTAACACCCCAAATCCTAAACCCTCAATCCTCAACCCGAAACCCTAAACCCTAAACCCCAAACCCCCAAGCCCTCCCCCTTCGCCACCCCGCGCCAGCTCTTTGGCTTCAAGCTGCTCCTCGCGGAGCCGCTGGGCATGGAAGCCCCGGAGCCGCGACAGGGCTCCTCGTTAGGGGGCTTGCTTGTTTTTTGTTTGTTCAGGGTGTTTAGGGTTTAGGGTTTAGGGTTCAGGGCTTAGGGTTTAGGATTTAGGGTTTACGGTTTAGGGTTTTGGGTTCAGGGTTTCGGGTTTGGAGCCTAGGTTTTAGGGTTTGGCAGCAGTGTTTAGTCGGGAGTTGGAGAATGAGGTACCGTCTATAATCACTTCAAACGGCATGTAGCAATGTATGGGGTACACCATATATATATATATATAGATAGATAGATACACCTATGTACGTATGTACGTATGTATGTATGTATATATGTATGTAGATCTGCATAGGTACCGAACTCCCTACCATGCCTGTTTTAAAGTTTTCCACTCCCACCTAGCTGGGCGAAGTGCACGGCAGGCATCCGAGTTAGTCTTGAATAAACCAAGATTTAATCGTTTTTCTCCACTTGTTTTGTAACATGACATTTGCAACAGGTGTTATGCGTTGGACGGTGCACAGCAGGTGTCGAATTAAAACAACGAGGCACCGAATTTGCACGAGGGTTGGGAAAAGACAGCACAGGCAGCTTTAATGAAGACTGCAAAAGACTGAGAAACTCCAACCACGACTTGCTTGCCCCCCCCCCCCATTTAGGTACCAAGAGCGCCAGAAGGGAAGCGGGAGGGGGAGGTGGGGGGCGGTAAGCTGGCACTGAGCACCTTCACCGTTAAAGGCCAGCAGTGCAAATTTGAGCCAAGCCGGTTCCGCCTGCTTGTCGCATCTTACCCACTCCGCGAGCAAGAGTTTCGATCGCCGCACGGGCCTGCTAGAACAGTTCTGATTGAGATTGCAGATCTTCCAGCCGGGCTTTGGGTCCTTCCTGGATGTTCAGGCTACACTCTTTTCAGGCTTCTGGACACAAATATGATGCTGTCGCCACATCGCGGGAGGGAGGCGACATTGGCTCAATTTCAGAAGCTGACCACATGTTCTGCGCCCCGGGCCAGGCGTAGCTGCCGCGCCGCTGAGTTCCAGGAGGCCAGCAGCTGGGACACGAAGTCCTTGTGAAGGACCTCGTTCAGACCTGTGCGTCTCGGAACGACCTGATCTACGACCTGAGGACCGGAACGAGCGTGGACGACAATTCAAACAACCTTGCCAACGGCGGCCACAGGACGTCAGTCCATGTCGAACTCTGCGCTACAAGGACAAGGCTTGTGAAGTGCACATGGGCATTTCCCAGAATAAGGGAACCCTGAAGAAAACCCAAAATACGATAATCCTTGGAACCCTGAATATACCCCAAAGTCCCACAGTACGTTAATCCTTGGAACCCTAAACATACCAAAATGCCACAATCCTTTTTACCGGAACTCCCAAAAAAGGTACAGTATCCCCTGTTTCGGAAGCCCCCCATATGAGAGCGCACGGCAAAGGAGGCCTCGAAGCTTCGAAGTGGCCTCGCGTCCGGCGTGATGCCGACCGCGCCAGGCATGCAAGGCAACCGCCTGAATGAACCTGGCTCCGCAAGTAGGGAGGGTTTAGCCGGGGGTAGGGTTTAGGATTTAGGGTTTAGGGCTTCTTTTTTAGCGGTTTAATTGGGGTTTAGCGCCACTTCAGAAGCCATTGCAAACCAAAGGACCCAAGACCCACTAAACCCCCCACCCCTCCGCCTTCCGAAACACGCTCCCTTGCCCCTCTACCAAGAGATGGCAAAAACTACTCACAACTTGGTCCTTGGGTTTAGGGTTTAGGTTAGGTCGCAGGGCACAAGCATAGCATGACTGTCAGCTCACAGCGTGTCCGTCTTCTTGTGTGTGGAGCGAGGGCTTCAACTTCAAAGTAGTGCATGTCGCTTAAACCCGACCGGCTCCAATCCGTACAACTAGGAACAAAAAAACACGAAAGTATATGAGAGCATACCGAAACACACGAAAACATGCCTAAACCCTAAACCCTAAACCCTAAACCCTAAACCCTAAACCCTAAACCCTAAACCCTAGAGTTCCAGGGGGTCTTCACCGCATCTTGCACAGCCTCCGCTGCCGCCGTTCGATCGCGGCCGAGGCCTCGCCGTGGCGGCGCCGCGTTGCTGCAAAGTCGGCGAGGCGGCGCACAACGCCTTGTACATGTGGTACTCTATTGTATTATGATAATGTTATGTTGTATTAAGGTTATGTTTTTAATTACACATATAATACTCTATTGTACTAAAACAATGTCATTTTGTATTAAGGTCGTGTTAGATTACGTTGTCCTTGACGATTTTGCTTGGCTGACTTCTGAACCCCTGCTAAAAGTTTAACTTTTCAGCTCCTTATTGTAGTTTCTACAAAACCCAAAAAGTTAAAGTCCTAAGAGCCAGCCAGAAGAAATCCAAGTTTTATAACGGGGGAGAGCTCCAAGCATGCCATAGCTGCTACTGTGTGACTGGAAGACTTGTGCAGGCATTCGACTGCCATGAACAGCCCAGAACTGTGCCAACTGAGACTTCCAACAGCCACTGCGAGTACCATGCATTCCCACACCACACTGCAGGGAGGCAAAGCGTCTCATCGAGGGCTTGAGTTCTCCAGGCGAGTTTGTACGTATAATGTGCGATGTAATAAAGTCTAGCCGTCTATCCGATGACATAGGACATAGGGCGCGATCAACAGCCGGCATTTCATCAACCTCCTTGCAGCCCGAAGCCCAGAAGGGAGTGCCTCCTTGGAGTCGCTTCCGCAAACTCTCGGCCAAGCCATGCAACACCACGCGCTCCTGCCAACAGCGGTTGCGACCATGCCGAAGGTTGCAAGCAAAACCTGGTCGTTGCTTCGAACTTCAGATCATGTTTTGCTCGGGGCATGCCGGGATCTGGCATTCAAAGCTCGGGAGAGAAAGCTTGGACGTCGAATAAGCTGGCATGCCAAAAGCTCGAATTTCATACTCGGTTTCTTTTTCAATGTTGTCACCTTTTACAACACGATTCGCAGATTGTCTCTCAGAGCGGCTCAAACATCCTTTCATCAAGCTCATGTCGTGCGGGGTTGACGCTCATGATGGCCTGGGAAAAAAACTGCGCATGCAGTCTTAGGTGGGGCAGTGTTGCACTGCTTTGCATGGCACCAAAACGACTCGGGTTTCCTTCGCACCTCGCCAGGTCATTACCGAGGATGCTTGGAACCTGTCAGTTCACCCTCAGCCTACATCAAACCCCCGCACCGAGGTCCTGTCGAAGCCGCTCAAGGGATGCCCGCCAGGCTGCCATGAAAAACAGCAGCCGCTCGTCGTCCAAACTCCGCCCGAAGCCTGGCACGGGATTGGCGTAGTTGCTGTGATGGAGGATGTTGTGTGGGCCAAATCTTCATGAAATCTGCGAGGATTCTGCGAGAACAACAGTTCACAGCCGACCTCGCAACACGGAGATCCCCTTGAAGACCGACTGCCACCGTCCCCACCAGCTGTGGAATGTGCGGCGCTTGAGGGACCTCGGCACGGGTCGGCATGGCCCCAAATTTCCCGTCTCAATAATCATCAAGCACTACGCGCAACGTAGGCCCGGAGTTCGGTAAGTTCTGATGACCCGGCATCGAGCCAAGCAGCAAGTCCAGAATAACCTGTGCCTTCAGAAGCGTGACTTGGTTCCTCGGAAGCCATGTGAAAAATCAGTGCAGGATGTCTTGGCTTCGATAATACACTTGGAGCGCCATGGGCCTAACCTCGACGAACCATCCAGTAGGGACGTACCGGGCTTCCGAATTCCCAACCAAGAACCAACAAGTGACCTCGACGAATTTGATCCGGGACTCCTCTGCTCTTCCCTCGCGTGGGAAGCCCAACCATGAAAGCAGCGGCGAAGCAAGCGTGGTCTGCTGTAGTTCAGCAGGTGTCCTGCCAGCGCATTCGACTGCGGCAAGGGCTTCACGGAATTGCAGTTGTTGCTACGTGCCTGCCTAGTACTGACCTGGGGATGCCCGGCAGGACAAGCTGGAGAAATGCTCAGTAGCCAACTGATGCAGCCGAAACACTCAAGCAACTCCGAATCCCCAAAATCAGCAGCACCAAGACACAACTCAGCTGTTCAGCTACTCAGGCATCCACCCATATCTCACAAAAAACACAGCAGAGACACAAACCCGTATTGTCGCTACAGGGCTTTGGGGTTCTGATGGTGTTCATGCCTACAACTTTTGTGATGGGGGCTTTAGAAGCGTGGGCTACAATGTGCCACAATCAAGGCGTGCAGTGCTCGCAGGTGCCTCGCAAAAGCAGACGCCTTTGCTGACGCTTGCGGCACCTCGTGTCAGTTCACGTGCCATATTCAAGCCCAACCTTGAGAAAGCCTGTTTCTCGCTTCCTCTTGGCGTCTATATTATACGTTGGGGCTCGTGATAGCAAGGTGGCTGCAAACCAGTAGAGAACACTCCATGTCACCAGCCAAAGGCACCAGCGTGACCACCGACGAATAGCTCTTCGTCGCGTGGAGCCCTGAGCACTGTGGATGTCAGGCGAGATCGCAGCTTTTTCGCTTACACGCATGGGGGTTCACGATATTAGGGGGTACCTTATTTTTGGGTCCTTATTTCAAGGGATCCTACTATTTGGGGGTCTATTTTAGTAAACCCCTACATGTGCGGGAGGCCTTCAGCTGCATCTGCGCCAAGTTCTGTGCAAGCTGCAGCTCCTTGCTGTCCCGGAGGTGCGACTGCAGCCTCGACGCCGAACTTTCGTTTGCGGAAGTCTCACAATCAGCAAAACTCTAAGGACAGAAAATCGATGAAAATCGTGGAAAATCGTGATATTATGACAAGACATAATATAACAAAAGAACAACATAATGTATCAATATATAGAACAATGCAACAACATAACTAGATAACAATAGAGTCAATGTGTAATCATGATCCTGCAACGGGCACCTGTGCAGAGCCCGCCGGGCCGCGGAGCGCTGCAGCGCCAGGCGGGCCGCGCTGTTCCGCCGGGAGCCGTGGGCGGAACTGCGAAGCGGCTCGGTGGCTTTGGTCAAGGGACGAAAGGAGGGATTCGTAGAACAAACCTTAGGGGCTATTTAGGGGTTATTTAGGTGCGACTTAGGTTTATATCAGGTATATATAGGGGTTATAATACAGGGGATGGCACCCTGCTTCTGGACTACAGTAGACAGGTCTCTCTTCTCGCGCCGGAATGTGTTGATTTCGCAACTGTGCTGCGAACTGTGTTGCAATGCCCAGATGGCCTCAGCCACCATGAAAATCCAGAGCTGAGTCGACGTCGAAGCTGCACTTTCCTGGCTGCCAGCGATGAATCTCGACTGTGAACCCACCTGAACTTCAAATGCCTCAGTGCTCACCTCATATTGAGTTCCCCATCCTCGAGGGGCGGTGCAGAGGGCGGGCGGCGTGGAGAGGAAAGGGAGCGAGAGGTGGAGAGGGTGAAGAGAGGCGGCGGATGAGCAGCCATAGCATGCAGCCGCGATTCTCCAGTGACAGGCGCTTCTTGCGCCGTGTGTCCTGCGCGAGCAAAGCATGGCATTTCGGGTCGAACCTTGATGTGCCGAAAGTGAATTTCCTTCTCATGCCAGGCTAGAAATCGAATGCCGGCTGCAATTACCCCCCCCCCCCCCCCCCCCCCCCCCCCCCAAACCGACACAGTACGGTCATGCTCTTTCTGCATGCTTGTGGTCACCATGTTCCCCACTACTCCGCGGCCTCCTCCTTGGCACCGCCCCGAGCGAGGCCCCGGAGGGCCTGGCGGAGGGCACGCACCCGGAGTAGAGCGCTCGCCTGGCAGGCTACCCTGAGATCCCTCTTTGGGTTTGGGTTGCGCCATCTGGCAGTCTTTGTTGTTCCATGCAGGTCTGGGGCGATGCTGCACCTGAGACTGCATCAGCTTTAAGTACCGGTTTCGGAGCCTTCTCCTACTCCTCGGAGCTGTCAGCGTACTATCAGAGGGTCGACACGTTGCCTGGTCTGCGAGCTCCCGCTGCTGCTGGTTTGCCAGGCTCCGCTGGTGCCAGCGACGAAGCGCCAAACGGCGCAGACCTTGCCAAACAAGCGGACAAGCGCAGTCAGTCAGCTTGATGTCAGTCAGCAACATACAAAGGAACCTTCGAAGGCGCGTCACTTCACTCATCTGCACTCAGCTTTGCATTGCGATGCTGAGATCAGGGCAATCACGAAATCGCCGCCGCTCGTTCCTTCATGGGAGGTCGGCTATCTTGTCTTGGAATGCATGTTTGACTTGCCATGAAAAGAGCCCCTACTCGAAGGTCAGCCGCCTGCCGGGCGCACGTTCCGCCCAGCGGCGCCAGTGCTGGAGGCTTGCCTGCTGAGTCCGGGCCATCTGCCTGCGCAGGACCTGGACCTGGCTGGGGATCGGTCTAGGAGCTGTGGGGTTCAAGGACTTTCGAAAGGAGATTCATGATCTTCAGGGGGTTGTAAGGGATGCCCCAGGCCCCAGGAGCTCTACTGCTTCCCTCATCCAAGTCCACTCAACAGAGGAAGAGCAGCAACAACAATCCATCTGCAGTGGAGCTGTGGCACACACAGATGCGTAGAAACAAATGCTCGTTTATCGCGATGACATCGACGTGGTGATTCTTCTACCATATGGTCCCTTTTGGGGGTCCTTATAATTAGGCGGCCCTCTTCTTTAGGGTACCCAAACCCTAAACCCTAAACCCTAAACCCTAAACCCTAAACCCTAAACCCTAAACCCTGTGCTTTTTTATGGACTTTGCCGGGGTGGCGGAGAGCTCGATCTCCCCGGCTCGGTCGGAGGCCACCAGGCGCCGCCAGGCCTCGGCACCGGCCCTCTTCCTTCTCTTCGCTTCTTTAGGTTCTTAGTAGGGAGTTAGGAAGTTGGATTAAAATTGTATGTGTTTTCGGTTCTTAGTCGGGAGTTAGGGAATTGAGTACCCTTACAATTGTATAGTATAGTATAGCCCTCGAGTTAACTTCCTTATTGACTGAGTTCGCACTCTGAAAAACATCTGAACATGCTGCCCTGGCGCGTGCCACACACGATCGAGACGCGCTTCCGCCGGAGGGGGCCCTGGTCCTGGCATTCTTGAAATCTCTTCAAGCTCCTCAGATCTCCTCAGCATTGGGGGGAACAAACTGAAAGGATAAGAGGCTGGCTGCTTTCTGGGCCTCACCATGCGCAAGAAGGGCCGTTGGGCTGCAACTTCCATGCTACCACCCCGCCCCCAAGCGTTGCACAACTCATCAATTCGCATCGGTCAAAAGAGCACGCCTGTCTGTTTCAACAAGCTACCAACTTGACTGTGAAGCCCCGAAACTCTGGACGTCTCCCACCCTCTCCCTCCCACGTGCCACGCCTTCCACACTCCTGAAAGCAGGAGCCAGCTCTTTGGCTGGCGCTGTGGAGCCCGTGAGCCCTGACCAGGCGCGGAGGCATCCTGGCAGCTACGACAACAAAGGGGCGCAAGGTACGAGTGCTGTTTGAGAGTGCGCTTCTCCTTCAACGAGGAGGGGCTCTAGCCTCCTCGTGAAGTCACCACCCTAGAATCCTAGAAGCACATGACAGCCCCTCAACACTTGCCAGATTTGCGCTGAAGCTGCCGCTCCTCCCACAACCTGAGATAGATAGCGGCTGCTCGAATTGGGTGGCCTTCCTGCTTCTACTGTTTTTCGAGGTTATTGCGTGCCCTACTTGCGAAGCGCAGGCCAAGACGCGTTAGACGCAGAGGCGAAGTGGCTCGGAACGGCCGCGTGACCTCGGTCACCGGTTCCGTCAGAGGCCGCGGTCCTGCAGCAACAGCTGAAGTCGCGTTGCATGAGGATTCATGAGGCACAAGCTGCGGCAGCCTTGCGCTGAGTCGCCTAGCAGACAGGGCTGCTTAGCCTGCCTACACTATTATGTATTATCATAGCATTCTCTAATTCTATGATTATATGCATATCTGTTTCTATTTCTAGAATGAGCCCCAAGAACCCTAAGCCATCTTTCCTCTGCTCGGGGCGCTGGGCGGCGACGGCGTCGAAGGCGAGAGCCACTTGCTGGTGGCCAGATCTGGCAGCCCTCGGCCTGTTGCTGCTTTCTTCTCTTACTGTTGGTTAGTGGGGAATGGGGGAATGAGGTACCCTATATCATCCCTTTAAGGGTTTCTAGAGGGCCCTACTGGGAATTCCCTCATGCCCGGCTAACCAACAGTAAGCTTCTTGCCCACTCAACGGTTCTCCTGCTGATGATAAGCAGGGCTTCGACTCTCGTAACATCAAATAGTACGAAATCAGACTGAACTTCTGGTCTGCATGAAACTTTCCTCTCCTCTAAATACCAGTTTGTGAAAAACTCTGCAAAGATCCCAAAATAGGTCCATTTTCATATGTGGGCTGTTGTATACCCGAGAACCGCCAGTGTGAACCTCGGGGCACTAAACAGCAGATGCCTCCTCTGACCCCTACCACTTCCAACAACAGCTACATGCCTGTCGCCTGTTTCCGCCTCAGTACTGTCAGATATGACGGCACGTTTCCACTTGCATGGTTCGTCTGCATGTGGGTTTACACTAGCAGGCGAAGTGACTGCTGGAGCTTCTAGGCCGAGGCTTTTGATGCTCACCCTCTTTTCCACTCGGCCTGGAGAGGTTGAAAGCGGGCTACTTTGGCGCCAATCCTGCACAGCAGACTGGAACAGGATGGCATGGCCAGCTATTGAAGTTGCTTGCAGGCTGCATTCCATGTGCACGTATAATTCCATGCGACCTCCTCCATGGGCTCGCTTTGCAAAGCTTCGGGATGGAGACCTACACTGAGAAAGGTCAGGCAACTCATGAGATGATGCATGCGATCCAACCTCCACATGCCACAGCTTGCGGAGTTGCCAGTCGGCCTCGAGGCAGAACATTCGCTCGAAGCCGTCGGATCTCCTCAATCATGTCATCCAGGCTCTGGCCTGCGAGGGCGACCAGTAGGGTTTGGTCTGGTCAGGTGGCAACGACAATTCTTTGGCATCGCCCTCAAGGGGGCCTACCGGTGTCTCCAAGCTCGCCGGAGTTGTCTCCCTCACCTCCAACACGCGCAAGGTCTCACCATGGGAAGGACCCGCTCCCTTCACCGACTCACTTTAAAGGGATCTCGAGGGTCCGAAATGCCAGTAATCTTAGATTCTTTGGTAAGGTTGCCCTCACTTCTCGAGGCGTGGCCAGCAGCTGGGCCTGAGCTGGGGTCCATCCAGGACGAGGAGACCTGGCATCCATATCAGTGTCACGGAAGAATTCCGGATTCATGAGAGTTTATCACCTTTGTCAACATCACCCACGACTTCTCGGGAAAGGTGTGCTGTAAGGTGCTCGAAAATCCCCTGAACGCTTGGCCGAAGTAGACCAGCAATGCACCTCGCCTCCGCCGCAAGGCTGCCCCAAGTGGCGTCACCTCTGCATCTTTGCTTGGCCATGCCGATTGGCTCTGGGCAGAATCTCAGAAAGAACGCAGAGTTTCTGGTGCCTGGGCCTAGATTCTTCATCTGGGCCTAGATTCTTCATGCATTCTCCTTACAATGAGGCGACGTTCTCACTGCCACGATCAGACGGGACCATGCGCATTGGAGTAGTATCAGTGCGCCCTGACGTACTAGTGGGGGCACCCGGATGTTTAACAGGTCAGGATCGGCTAGTCTCACAAGTTATCATGGAAATCTGCTTTACTGCTGTGCTGCTTTCAGTTCTCCTAGGACTCGCCCTCCCCCTCGCCAGAGCCTCATGACTCGTCCTCCATGCCATGAAGGAAGGCAGCCAGGCCTAGCAGGTCCCGTTCGTGGGTCGTTGTGATCATGTTTCTCTGGAAATTTGCTTCTCATGCCATGGGCATGGCTCAAGTTGCTACCGTCTAAAGGCTTCAAGAGCGAGGCACACGCTACAAGTCCATGACACACAAGCTCAGATTAACTTTGCAAAGTCCACAGCTCAAGGTCCTGGGCCTTGTCGCCCTGTCCTTGTGACCGGCTGCCATGCACTCTCAAATCCTATACTGAATTCCTGTGGCTCGAACATAGTGGGTTCGGGCAGCAAGTTCACCAGACGTCTGCAGAGCTCGTCGGCTTCGATTCGGGATGGGGACTCGGGCTTCAGAGGAGGAGCCCATATGAACATGAGCTCGATGTCTCGGGCATGCGCTACTTGATACAAGCTCCTGGCAAGGAGCTTTCATGAGAGTGGTGTAAGGTCGATGTCGTGCAAAACCTGTGTCGTGCTGTGCTCGGTCATGACTTCCCAAGGGGTGAAATTGAAGTCGTGGTAGATGAAAGAGTAAAACGAGTGTTCTTGCTGGTGAGTCCTGGTGGTGATCATGGAGCTCTGTTCCTGTTCATTCTCTAGACGGAGTCGTGTCGCGATCTTGGATCTCGCATCACGTTGGAGTGAATGCCGGCTTGCTACCGCGCCTCAGGCAAAACTGAAGTTGTAGTTGAGCTATACGATGCTCTTTGGATGAGGCTCCGTAGACGAGCTGGCCCCGATGCTCTTGGTTTTTCTGGCACTCTGCAACCAAAAACAAACTGAAGCACTTCGAGGCGAGCGGTTTCTTTTTGGCGGTGCACTGGCAGGCGGCGGACAGGTAAGCCTGACCTGCTACCCCACCAGCATGAGCGGAGCGGGCGGGTGTCTGAATTTTAAAACACAAACCACGCGACTCAAACGCAAGCTCGAGCCGACCACACATGAGCGCAGAGTTGGCGCTCGTGCAAGTCACTACGCGCGCTGCGTGCACTGGGCAAAAACATGCACCGTAAGGAACTGATTCTGCCGGAGAGGGATTGGCTTGATAACTCGGTGACAAGAGGCGTGCGGCGACGACACCCAAAGCGTTGCACCCACCAGATGTGCGCAAGTTGTCTGCCACACACAAATAATGAGGTGGCGAAGCTTGACCCAAGCAACTTGCAACAAATACCATGCGGATGATAAGCCTGAGAATCAATTTTGCGGACCCTGCCTTTCTGCTACGGCAAGCATCGGGGCATTGACTGGAAACTCTTGCTTAGACAGCAACTTTTTGCTCCTGCACTAGCAGCGTGGCAAAAAGCAGTCTGAAGTCTTCCGGCAGCCCCTCAGGCAAGAATGTTGAACACAGACGGAACCTGGCCACAGACAAAATCGCACAAAGAAATCCGGCTCGATTAGCAGAATCGCAGTTGCCTACACCCCGTCCAGGCAAGCTTCTAACATCTCACAGATGCCCCGTGATGCCCGAGAGAAACTCATGCTCTTTGACTTGGACCTCGAAAGATCTCTGCGGCACAGCGCTTACACATGCATGATTCTGGCCTTGGACCACACTATGCAAGTGTAGGGGCTAAATGCCGCAGAATGTGACCCACACATCCGCACCCTTGGATTTTGCATTGCCGCGATTGAAACTCGAAACCCCCTGAAAGACATGGGCTCCACAAGTGCATATTGACAGTGCGCAGCATTCCACGGTGAGCCTGTCTTAGGCTCGGCCGCTTTTGCGCGCTTGCTCGGCACTTGACGGGGAGCTTGCAACCAACTACAGATACTGTCCCCAGCTGGGAGCCACATGTAATTCTACAAAGGAGTGACTAGCAGATGCAGTTCTGGTTTGTAGCTGAGTCTGGGAGACACACACGCTCGAACAAGCCAGGCAAAGGAGAGTACAGAATGGTAGAGGACTCATCAAAGGGTGGTTCTGCATCTGCTTGTCTTTGCCTGGGACTCGGACTGGTCCCAGGCATCGACTCGTTGTCCCCTCTTGCAACAAGTACCCAACGCATCAGTGCGTATGAGGCCCTGCGTTCAAAGTTCGCGGCAGGTCATTCTTACAGTGCCGCCATCGTCTGAGATATTCTGAGATGCAAGGCACACAGGGCGGCTGAACCGGCTTTGAGGGATGCAGGTGCTTGGGTCGTTTGTTTCGGGCGCATTGCCGTCGCCTTGAGCTGCCCACAAAGATGCCTGCTCAGGTAAAAACAAAAAAAGGTAACGCATGCCTAGTGGCATAGCCTCAGTGCATAAAGTCTCGCCACCCTGGTGGTGGCAAGTTAAGATGTTCGGAGAAGTCTCTCCGTTGCAGATCCTCGTTCGCACACAAAACAGGCCACGTGTGAACTGTTGACTCCCCAATCTTCAACGTGCAGGAACCGGTCCCCTGAATGGGCAGCAAGCTACTACTCAGAAGCAACTTCCATAGCCATGTGATACCCTAAACCCTAAACCCTAAACCCTTTACTCATTGCTGCGAAGGGTCGGTCTGCTTTTTGCAGAGGTGATCAGCCCCTCAGCGGCAGTGGCTGGACACGGGTCCATTGCTATCGCTAGGAAGGTGAACTTACGAAATCAGTTCGGGAACAGGGTTAAGGTTTAGGTTTTTAGGGTTTAGGGTTTAGGGTTTAGGGTTTAGGGTTTAGGGTTTAGGGTTTAGGGTTTAGGGTTTAGGGTTTAGGGTTTAGGGTTTAGGGTTTAGGGTTTAGGGTTTAGGGTTTAGGGTTTAGGGTTTAGGGTTTAGTCGCTCAGGGTTTAGGGTTTAGGGTTTAGGGTTTAGGGATGTGTATTATTTTGCCACGGGCCGCTTCCAAAACTGCATCATGCTGCGCACCATTCCACTGTCTTCATTGTCCGAGACACTCCACAGCCTTGCCAAAGCTCTGGCCGGCAGGCTGTGGAACTGGCAGCTCACCACCTGCAACCCAGCAGTCTGCACTCGAAGATGGGAAGGGACAGGTCCTACTGGAAACATCTGGAACCATGGCACCTTCCGGATTCACTTCGCTTCCTCGAGTGTACTCGGCTTTCATGAGGTGCGCGATTTCCAGCCTGGCGTAAGACTCAACACAGTACATAGCACATAGTAACGTACAAAGCTGCTTTGGAGCCTCCCACACTCCCCTTGATTCATCAAATCGCCACACACTTGTGGCCACAAACTACTCCAAGGCACATGTCTGGGTGATCCTCCATGTGATAGGAAGATGGTGGAGAGCAGCGGTCAATGATCTCTGCAGCTTCTGGCCAGGTCATCGTCGCAGCAATGTCCACCTCCTGGTCGACACAACCAATACCAAAACCATACAAAGACTTCGTGGCTCAACACTGGTGGGACACAATCGAACAAGAACGACGCATGTTCCAAGCGCGGACGGCTAGAACGAATCGAGCTCACTGCTGGAGTGCCTTGCCTTGCCCGTCTTTTGTCGAATGCTGTCCACAGACTCACCACGCTGGATGGCTGCAATGGTGGCCTCGTCCTGAACGCGTTCAGAGAGTTCCGAAACTTGCACAGAGTTTCAGGCATCAGCTGTTTCGAGTTACCCTGATTGCTTCTGGCCATGCCCTCCCCACTTGAACGTAGGAAATCCGCGGCTAAAGGTAGTTCCTGGATGCCGGGTGCACCTTCGATCCCTGCTGAACCCTCAAGAGGCCACCAGCCCAACAATTCTCAACAGATAGTCCTCCACTTTTTTGGAGGCACAGCACAGCTGCCACAGGAGTGTGCCGAAGGTACCGAACCTTGCTGGGCAATGATTGCCACAGGCAGTTGCAAGGGCAAGCGTGCAGCAAGATGCACATGGCAGTTGGCAGGATCTAACCGACCTGTTCTCAAGAAAATCCGCTTCGGACGTCCCTAGCATATCAAGGACACTGAAGTTGTTGCCACATGCTCTTGCAAGCCATGGCCTGAAAAAAGGCTGGCTCAAAGTGAACAGCAGAGTGCGAGAGGATCGGCTGCCGAGGAGCGTTCCCTGAAAGGCCCATGCCAGCCACCATGCCACCCAAAGCGACAGCATGAAGGAAAACCATGCCACGAACATCCACGTGCTCTCCTCTCTCAAAAACGTGTTCATTCATGTGGCTTGCGTGAAATGTCGCGAGTCTGGAACCCTGACGCGTGCAGCGAAGTATACACAACGCAGCCGGTCCCGCGTCAGCGTCGGCCACCAGCCCTGCAGGTGCTCGCTGGCCATCTGGCCCTGCTCTATGAGGCTTCCTGGGGCGAACGTTGTGGAGGTTTCGGAAACTAGGGGGTACCTTCTTGGGGTCCTTTTTGTTGCAAGGGGACCTTTCTTGTGGAAAGAAGAGCTGAGGTGTGGTTTATCCAACATGCCCCTGGTGTCGCCAAGATACCGAGGTCGCCACCGACAGCATTGGATGGAAAGACACATGGCTGTCCGTACCTTGGCGCAAGAAATCTTCACCAAGTCTAAAAGTACCTGCTGGAAATCCGAGCAGGCTGCGAAGGTCACGCTCTTGTAAAGCGCTGTGCTTCTTGCGGCATGAACCACACAACCGCACATAGCTCAAGCAAGTTCATTGGAAATGCTGGACAAGTACAATACAGAACTGGTAAACGTTTACTTCGGATGCTCATCCGGAGGCAAAGTTGCGGGAGGCTCTGAGGAACTCCGAGGCTTCACGACTCAGAGGATAGGAGTCGGCTCCCTAAAAATGGAGCGGTTTTTGGAAAAAAAAAACGCTCTGGTTTTTTGGCTGCAGGGGCCCTGGCGCAATAAGCACTCGTTTGTGCTTAGTTCTCCTCAACCCTGACCCAAAGCCAAAAGCTTCCTCTCTCAGCAGGGCCGATGGTCTGGGTTTTGGTTCGAGCTCAGCCCAGCTGGCATCGTCTCCTCTCTTCCTTTCGCTGGCTCCAAGAGGTCCCTTGTTCTCGTCAGGTCGGCTGGTGTTACAGGTGACCGGTGCTTTGCCAGCAAGGTTACTGTTGGCCGCCTCTCGTGCGTTTCATGGTCTGTGGTCTGTGGCGCCACCCTTTGACTCTCTTTGTCCACGTCCATTAGGACGCTTCTGCTTCTGAGAGGATATGCAGGCACGGTTCCCCTTGGGTCAGGTGGATGCCACTTGCACCACCTGCAATACCATCGGAGTGCTTCGTTCCCGCTCGCCGTGCCTCTCCTACTGCCAATCAAGCCGAGGCGGTGACTTCTTTGACGGTTCCAAGCCCCATAAACCCAAAGCCCAGCACAAGCCCCCTCGCACAACAAGCCAATCGCCGGGCTTCGAGGGACATGCTACATGCCCGTCTGCCTGTCCGACAACTTTTGCACCCGGCGAGGAAGCAGGGTAGTCCAATCTTCCAACTTTGGCTTTCGGGATTCCTACTCCTGCGTTACTCTCATAACGATAGTTACGAGCGAAGACGACGGTCTACAAGTAGAAGATAGGAAGATCGAAGAAGCGGCTTCAATCTGCCCAAGCTTTCTATTTAGACAGCACCAGATAGCCAAGCGGCATGAAGATGGCAAAGATGCAGTGCAGAGCAATTGCATACAGCCTCAGATTCCCGGTGCCTACATGTGAAAGGAGAAAAGGAAAACGGAGAATCGTGGAAACATCTGCGCTGTCAAGGCGTATTCGCCAGCCGGGACACAGTTTTTCGGACACCTCCCTCGGCAGCAGCGCATCGTATGATGGTGGCCGCTTCGAGCACCATAGAAGAGCAATCTTGTCCGCCCAGTACCTGAGACTTCAGACAACTCCGACTCAGTTGGCCTAACCCTGTAAGGATGCTAAGGAGGCTAAAGTTGGACCCAATGCCAAGCAATCCTCCCCCCCCCTGGCCAGGTGGCATGAAAGTCATGTAGCCGAAGGCAAAGAGATACAACAATGGCATCCCGGCCTCAACGACATGAGGAAGCAGCACGTCCAAGGCACGACAGGGCCACAATATCTCAAGGGATTCATCGAGCCAGTGCTGCCCAAAGGCTGAGTATGTCAGGGTAACAAAGACGGTCGTCAGCATCTGCGCGTACCTGCGTGGATGCCGTTGAACCTCCAAAGGCCCCCGGCCCGAAGTGCCCAGAAGGGTTCTTATTATTGAGATGAGATGCTTCAGCTTGATGTCAAACTCCGGGTTGGTGTACAACCTGTGTCGACTGCTTGGGTGAAGGGCGGTGTGTACGTACTCCAGCCTGCACTTACGGACACTAGGAAACGTGATGCGGCGAGACCTTCAACGTAGCAAAAAGGCATCAGAACCCTCGAACAACGAGACCTTCACGAAGGGGAAAGCAACCATCTTCCATAACTTGGGCAGGCCGAGATGCGCAATGAGCTCTGAATGGTGCTTCACTCTGCCTCCCAAGTGGATGCACAATATCTCGTTAGAACCATGAACAAGGTACAGATGTGTCCACGAACTGGGGTAGTCCACCGGCATTGCAGGATGTTGGCGCTGGTCAGAGCCCAAGCTTGAAAGGCCCTCGCGGCCTCTGCAACATTTTCGCAGGAGCCACGTCACAAAGATATTCCTGCACAGGCTAATAGCACGGGCGTGACACACCCCGAGCGGCATCCCAGTGCACAAGATTTTGCCCCACCCCACTGCAGACTGCGCCATGTGCTGGAAGAAACAGATGACAGAAGTCGAATCAAATGTGCACAAGATGTTGGTGTGCACAACAGACGAAGAACTCAAGTTAGCATTGCTCAAGTCGAGCCCACAAGGAAAGCCAAGCGTCGCGATTGTAACGCCCGGTGGCACCACCTGTCGTGCTCCCAGAAACGTCTGGACAAGTCCACTGCCCCTTTAAGCATCCAGGGCCCCCTAAACCCTAAACCCTAAACCCCAAACTTCTTCAGTTCGCCAAGATGCCATGTTCAGGAGCATGTTGATCATAATGGTCGCCCCCACGACAATGTACCTCAGCATGGTATCAGCAGGGGCGTCCACATCCACGGCTTGGGCCAGAAAAAGGGTACATCAAGCCTCACCCTAAACCCTGAACCCTAAACCCATCTAAACCCTAAACCCTAAACCTTCAACCCTAAACCCTCAACCCTCAACCCCCAACCCTAAACCCTAAACCCTAAACCCTGAACCCTAAACCCGAAAGCGAGCCATGAAGCCAAGCCCGCGTCAGTTCTTCAAAAGGCCCAGCGAACAATGCTCGGCCAACCAGTGGGATGACTTCCACTGCTTTTCGCCTCGCATCCGATGGGACAGAACTTCTGGTTCATCCACAAGCTGTGAGTGTCGGATAGTTTATTCATATCAAACAAAGTCTGAGCTTGAGAGCTACGACTCCCGTCTGTGTCTAAGCGTGACGCCACAGTCAACAAGTATGCCTCGTCACATACTATTCATGCTCGAGGTTACAAGTGTCTGCACAATTTTGAACGATTAATACATTGCACCTCTTCAAGGTGTCGACTACTGAAAGGCATCTTCCTTTGCAAGGTCTGTGACATGCTCGACCGCTGGGCGTTCTCTATGTCATGCCCCTAGCTGGTTCGGAAGGGCTTCCAGATTTCCCCCAGTGCCCTCCGTCCTACCACTATGTCACCGTGTGTTAGTGGACTTGAAGCACACACACATGCAGTGCAGCATCTTCAAGTGAGAAGCATCTGTCATGAAAAAGTCTTCTCTTCTTTCAGTCTCTCATGCTCGCTTTGTGCCAGTTCAAAATAATCCAGGTACATTGCTGTTCCTGCCCACCGAATGGCCACTCTTGATTGACGATTACGGTTACTGGCTTTTACGGTTACTGGCCTTGAACTTGATGTTGCCCAGCGCTGCACTTTTAGTAGCTGGATCGGCTAAACAACCTCTTGAACAGTGCGCGAGTTCTAAATTGGGAGGGGGGGGGGGGGGTCATCATCTGCAAAACGTAGAAGATCGGGATCTGCCACTAGAATGGCACTGGACCTGTCAGCAAGAATCTCTCTGCCTTTCGGCTGCAATTAACAAAGGCTCATAGCTGTAATTATTACTAACTAACGACAAAGCAAGTACAACTAAAGCCCTTTTACTTGCTTAGAGCGCAAAAGCACCCCTTTTTTTGCCATTCTGGCTTTGGGCAATCTGCAGACAAGCACAAGCCTTCCTCTGCACATTCCTTGGCAATTCCCACATCAGACAACCTTCTGCACAGCATGTTTGGCAGGCTGCTTGCACGTCTGGTGTCCTCGCTTTGTTTGTTGCTGACCTCTGGGATTCTGAACTCCTGACTCCGTTTGGCAGAGAAGCGCGGCCGTCATGTCTCGTCAGCGTCGTCATTGTCTCACGTCCACCCACAAGCCACAGAGAACGTGCCCCTGCAGTCAGGCACATAAGCCGCTGGGACCATGAAGCTGAACAAGGAGTCGAGCCACAACCCAGGTCCGCGTAGATCCTGGAGCCTATACTAGTAGGGCTTTTCATGGCTTGTCGTACTTCGTGTCTCGTGTGGGAGGTGGCGGGCGTCGGCGGCAACGCCCTTGAAGCGCGGAACTTGGCACTTCCCCTTCACTGGGCGAGGCAGGTTCCAGCTGCAGCTTTTCGGCTGCACTGTACTTGCGAGGGAGCCTTAAGACAGGATAGGACATGCACTTGGAAGCTTGAAAAACTTGCAGTGTTCTGTTCACCGTTTGTACCTTTGCTGCTTCACACTCCAACGTCAGCTGCGGCACAATCGTATCCGACCAGGGTTTGGCATGTTTGCCCAGCGAACTCCCAACTGGTTCAGCAATGCCTCGACGGAGCCTGCGTGCAGCGGGCCAGCTGCAGGAAGAGCCACTCGGCTACTCAGAGTCTGCAGCGACGTTACTCGGAATCTGTAGAGCGCGAGCTTCACATACGAGGAAGTACAAAGGAATCATGGCTCGGGGCCTTTCAAGTCGCTGGTGGACCAAGCCTTCCGAGTTGAGCCTCGGCCCGTGATGATCTCCAGGCCTGCAGCACAAGCTGCCGGGGGGCTCAAAGCACACGACGGCAAAGGACACAAAAACTTCCCAAACTTCACCGCCTGACGGGTGTCTGCCGGACCAATACCCCACATGGCCCAGCCACCAGCGTACCTGCTTTTGCGGTGATACAGGGGACCCTTGAGGCAATGATCTGCATCTCCAGTTGCTCGTCGGGTCCACTAACCTACCGAAGCATGCGGAGAAGTGTGCTAAATCGGCGGTCGCTCAGAAAAATGTCCACAGTGTCAGATGCCGCAGTTATTTCACACGAGGGTTTTGCAGTCTGCAGGCCCTCACAAACTCTGCAGGGATGACAGAACTGCCCCATCATCCCTCCCAGGCCATCCGCGGGTTCATCCCCCCAATCCGTGCCCCAGAGGGCACCGCAAACTTCGCTGCCCCGGCTGACAGGTCATGCAAGTCCAGGTACTCCCGGCCCTTGGCCAAAAGCCTGGGCACCGCATGGCTCATGTCAGCTCACGCGCACGGGCTCCGGAACGTTCCATCCAAGCAGCCGCGGATAGGCGCTCGGCAGCGCGGACAAGAAGAGAGCCTTGGCTCCACCATCGAACATACTTCTTTACTCTTTCGGAGAATAATTGCAGAGTTATGCTGCTTTGGGGTTTTGAAGCATGTAGGCGTGTTTACAGACAGATGTTTGAAGCCCGGCACCTCGCCATCTGCGTCACCAGCAGCTTCCAGCACGGCATTATAGGAAATTGTGTCGGGCGCTAGACAACGCGCGCCAAGTTCGCCTCGGTACCAAGCTTCACAACAGTAACTTTCAAAGAAATCATTCCGCTCTTTTCTTGTACTTTCAAGGAGTAGCCCAGTTGCGGAAGAGGACCAAAGTCCGGTGCCACTGCTGGCCAGCACAGCAGGCTGCCATGGTCGCATTGAAGCTGATCAGGTCCGGTTGCACATCGTTGTCCTCCATCTCCTGGCACCCCAGCATCCTTTACAGCATCCCATAACACAAAGCTGCAGCTCATGATCGCGGGGCATCCTCCAGTAGCTGCAGAGCTGCTGGCCAGCAGCTTCCTCGATCACATGCGCTGATGGTGGCGTTGTAGGTGAAGTTGTTGGGCGTAACCTTCGAGACTTGGACAAGGCTCCAGGATGCAAAAAGGTCAAAGAACCGCACGAACAAACCGTGATCTAACCGAGGAAGCCACTGTTTGTGCGATGCTTTGGGCAAAGACTGCCAGGGCATAGGACCACTGGGAGGCTTTGCCGCACGCGCTCACGGAGCTGCAATACGTGATGCTGTCGGCGTGCCGCGCCCCTGACAGTCTTTGCCAATGGGCCATGACCAGACATGGACAGCAAAATGCTGGGTCCTACTAGGTGCTTCCTCGGGAGTTTCTTTGGAAAAACCGGTCCTCTTTGGAGAATCTCCTCCAGCAGTTGCAGGCCCTGGCGCCAAAGGCTTCCCCGGTCGCACGCGCTGAGAGCTGTCGAGCAGGTGATCGCATTCGGGCGGATCTGCCTCAGCCGCCAGCACGCGAGAAAAAAACATGACATGCTCGGCCTAACCATTGTGTAGGGTCGAGGGTTGTCACACTGAATGGACAAAGCATCAGTTATTACAAGAAATGCCATGAGAGCCAGGAAGCATGTCCCGCATCTCATTCAGAAGTACCAAAGCTCGCTGCCACCTCGTGAGCAACGATTTGCCCGCGAATGCTAGGCTTCAGCCAGCATTCAGCTAGCGCTTGAAACAAGCCGAAAAGGGTTAGCTGCTCTCCGCTCACAAGGTCCAAATAGTCTAACGATCTCTCACGTTCTTCAGTGGCAACACCGGGCAGCATACACATCATACAGCCTTCGTGGGTCCGCGTGCTGCTGAAATATGGCCGGGATGCTGCATGGCCCCGGACATGGCGTTCATGGCACTGCCCAAGAGGATGGTATCCTAAGCTGGAAAAACCTTGGACTTTGAGCGATTGCCTCACCTTTTTTTCTTCTAGAGCCTGTCATAATGAGGTCCTAAAGCTCTTGACGGAATATTGACATCACCAGCCCCGAGGCCCGAGATCAGCAGCTCCGCCAAGAAGCTGGGGCGTCCAGCACGGGGAGCATATTCGCGAGCAGCGCCAGTGCATCTTGCCAAGGTAGAGATCTCTACAGACTTCAAAGCCCCCGAACTTTTACAAGCTTTGCGATGAGTCCAACAGAACACCGCTCACGACATAAGCTATAGAGGCGAAGGCAGTGCCTCAACTTGAGCTGCCCTTTCTGTTCGTGTGCGTGGCAACATCTCTAGATTCTGCAACTCAGAAAGCCCTCATGCCGGAGGCACCAGCCCAGCGACGTGCAGTCCCCAGGCTTCGCAGGGCCGCGCTGGTGCTCACGGCGTCCGGGCGCAGCGAGCTGGAGGGAAGGAACTCAGGGGAACTCAGGGGGGTTGGGGGCTTCCAAGATCTGAATTTCATTGAGAACCCTGGGGGCAATCGGGAGCGGGAGCAACTCCTGTGAACCCTTGGCCGAGGCACTGCTGCGGCATGGACATCAGCAGTGCCAGGCCACATTCCCAGCGAGCAGCATTGGAGCATGCACTGATCGTGCTGTTGAATGAGATTACCTGTAAAGCCCACGGCAGTCACACTGGAAAACGTGTCATGTGTTCTGTTGCCCTTTGGCAGCATGTGGCACAACATACTCGATCAAGGCACATCCGGCTGCAAACCGGCTTTGTGGATGCAAAGCTCCTCGAGAAGCTGCAGCGCCCTCTGCCACTGAGCCGATCTCTGCATGGCTGCAATGGCCGCATTATGGAGGCATGCCTTCAGTGAATATTGTGAAAATGCAGCAAGCTGTGTCAACCTAGGCATGCCTCCAGGCCTCCGTAAGGCACAACGACCACATCCAACTACCCCATGTCCGCCGGGTCACATCGGGCTTCAGCTGCGCCGTCGCCGATGCCAGCGCTGCAAGCGCGTGCTGCCAGAGCTTCGCCCGCTCGCATGCATTTATCACCTCCACTTGTCGACGTCATTCCAAGTCAGCTCATGACCTGAATGCCCCACATCTAGGCCAAGGCGCTGCCGTGTAGCTGATCACATCTGGTGCAGCTGCATGCTGCGTCATCTCGGAGAGGAGCGCGGTGGCCTGTGAGATTTCTTTAGCCCAACTCTGTAAACCCCCCTTCCGGAGCTTGAGTCCCAGGTTGTGGTCTGGGGCCCTGCCTCCTGCCACCGGGAAGCAGCGGCGCAAGCGCTGATGGTGCAGTTGACTGTCACTGTATCGGCATCGTTGCGCCAAGTTTCGGTAAGCAGCGCAATCGCTTCCTGCCATTGCTTCTTCCTCATTGCCAGCTGGCTTCACAACACCGCAGCATAGGCATGTGATGTTGTGCAGTGTGCCGAGCGCTGAGGCAGTGCGAAGATGTGCTAAGGCAGGGTCCGGCCGTAATCTTGCAACAGATTGTGGCAGCGACGGCGCATACCAGCAGCCATTCTCTTCTCTTGACCGAGACAACTGACAACGCCGTCAGGTATGCAGATAAGGGCTTCTGAAATAAGACAAGGCTGCGCGGCGCTGTGGGTGCGTGGCTACGTTGTGAGGAGCTGTGCACTGCTGTGGCCCTTGCGACCCCCAAGGACATGTGGCACCATGTGTGCTACACTGCTTGCTACCATGCTATACGAAGCGCATAATGGCTGCACACAATGCCAGGTTGCGTTTGGGGTTCGGAATGGCTTCTGCTGCCTTCCCTCTTTGCCAAGTCACAGCGCTTCGGGCCCATACTGGTTCACAATAAACAGGACGAAGCCTTGCACTCTTTCAAAAAGTCGCTTCAGAAGCACTCGCTTCCCGGAGGTGTGCACGCTACCCAAGAGAAGGCTTCTTAGGGATTTGAGTTCGAGATGTTCGAGCCGTGCCTGTGTTCAATGTCTGTGCAACGAAGATCTTCTGCATCATGGACTGGTTGAGCGAAGTCAAGGACAGAGGCCGCTCAAATCGAGCCATGGCGATCAAGACCTCAGCTGTACTACATGCTTGTGTATCATTTCCGATGTCAGATGCATCCTAAACTTTTGCACATGGAGAACCCCAAACATGTGCCTCGAGAAGCATGTCTGACAGGGCTGAATCAAAGAAGAACTTCGATGTCTGCTTCAGTCTGCGGGTTTCAGGCCATCTTGTGGCAACGCCATGGCTATGATGCATGTGAGACCATAAGCCCAAATCGCAAACCAGCTGCTCCTGCGCGTTGTTTTCGGCAAGTCTCCCCTCTGAGCTACATCTTATGAAGGTCGGAAACGGGTAGATTCAGAATGCTGCCATGCCATACCCCCACAATATCCCCACAATCTATCACATGCCCCCTGCAGCTGAGCCACCAATTGAAGGACCAAGTTGATGCACACGACAACGCAGGAGGCAGCCGACATTATGCCTGGGAGGATTTCGCGGAATCCGAGGACTTCTTGCGTACCAAGTGCAGAGCACGCAGAGTCCCCGCACTTTGGCCATCGGAAGTTGTGCAGTCTACATCAGGGCTGTGTCTGAGTATCCGTTGAGGGAATATACTGCAAGTCAGCATTGCTTTGATACACAACTCCGAGCCTACATTCCATTAAGAGCATTGCCAAGCTCACCAGCTCTCACTGCCAAGGTTCCGATACCCCGTGCAGTCTCCAGGAACCAAGGTGTGCAAGTGCTGACCAATGATGAATCTTGCACCAGCTTTGCCTCAAGATTGGGACGTCGATCCCCTCACCGACAGTTCGATAAGTCGTGATGTGCTAAGTTAAGAATAAGAACGGGTGGCAATGGTCATCTGAGCACACGCTTGGCAGAAGCACAAAGCTCCCTTCCATAGTGGAAATCCCACACATGGGGGGCAAGAAGAGCTCTTGAGGCAAAAGTAACCCAGACGACCGCTTCCCAAAGCAGCCGAGGAACATAGCCTTGAGACTCACACCAGCAATTCAAGATGTCGCCGCCCTGTGAGACAGCGTAGTCCACCGTCCAGTTGCTGGCAGTGCTCACCTGGGCAGGGATCCGATCAACTCGTAGCTCTCATTCGTTCTGTAGGGTTTAATCGCTCACACTCGGACAAGCCAGGCGAGGCACTCACTTCTGTAGGGTTTAGGGTTTAGGGTGTAGGGTTTAGGGTTCCTGCTGCATCTGCTGGCAGCCGCCATCTGGTGCGTATGTCTGTTTGGCTTGGTCAGGAGATGCTTCTGTTTGTAGTCAGGCCAGGCAGCGAGGCAAACATAAGAATTTGCGGAAGCATCTGGGATCTTCGGATCACACATCTCGCTGCCAATGTAACCTGATGTGCGTCATGTGGAGCAAAGACACTAGCCATTACAAGCTGAAGGCCTAAACCCTAAACCCTAAAAGAGCGCACTGCAAAGTCAATGGGTCTGTTCGGGAAATGCCCCTGGACTGCCAAGGTGCTCAGCTGTGCGCCAGCTTCTTGTTTTCCAAGTACCGTGATGACGTAGATCAAGACCTGCCAAAGACAAGCTCCATCCAGGGAGGCCAGAAGGTGAACATCCAACCACTGGTGTGAAGCAACTGAGCACACGACAAGCGAGACCGACAAGATGATGATGAAGGTCACGAGCCTTAAAGTGAGCGCCGCATCCGCTCAGCCAAGAGAGTGTAGCTGGGAGCTACAAGATCCTGTCATCACATTCAGATGCGGTCCAAGAGAGCCAAGCAACATGCACAGCTGCCTGAGTGGAGCACAAGCACGAAAGAAGAAGCAGAAAGCATACTGCATCCGGAATCTGGAAGGATATCGTGAGGACTGCACCCGAAGAAGGAAAAGTAGAAAGAACAGCTTGCTCTGCAGCAGAGCTTTAGAGAAGCTGTCTCACGCGCCTCAGCAGTCGACTCTTCCATGATAAATCCTGGTTCTCCCAAAGGAGATCCGAAGGTTGGGGTGCTTCACGAACTCGCAAGGCAGCTCCTCCAAGGGACTGGGGTTCTTTTGCCGCCCTCTGACGCGCCCGCAGTGCACCCGCCGATTGGCTCTTTCTACACTATTGCAGCCCCAAGTCGAGTGGGGGCTGCCCTCACAACGGAGTGCGAGCATCAGCTTCTTTTGTGGGCCGCTCTGGGCCCCCCACCGAAGAATCGCTTCGAACTCGACTGGCAGCAGCGAAAGAGAGAGAAGTTGGCCAGGCCTTGGCAAGTCCGGGGGCTTGCTCAGCAAGGCCTTGGGCCCGCGATTTCGGGGCGAATTAACGATGCTACACATCATAACGTGCTATCGGAAAGCGCACGCACATGTAGATGCGCATATATATATATAGAGAGAGAGAGATGTACTAATTGTCCTACATATACATATACGTATCTGGATGTAGCGTATGTACATATGCAGCTTTTGAAGGTAAAATACGGCCCTTGAGCTGCTTCCTGGGTTAGCTCTTGGCTTTCTTGTTTGAAGGTTGGGGGTTGTTGGGTATTTCATGTTGGGTTGGCCGGCCGACGACGCGAAGGCTTCAACCAAAGCCCACCCAAAGTGCAACACTAAGGCAAGACGACTAGCAACGGGCTGCAATGGCTACAGCAACGAAGGACATCCATTTCAATCCTCCACCAGCTGCTGCCACGGCACGGTAGTCGTACATCAAGCTGTGCTTGTCTGCGGTCCGGTTGAGGATCACATACGCTCGCAGGACTGGTAGCCTGGGCCGCGAGGCGAAACATGCGTGGCAATCCCTCATCCACCCTGGGCCCATGTGATCCAGGTGGCTCATTATCAGGTGCCAACTGCGCCGCCAATTTCTGGTCCAGCTTTGCCTTGAATAAATCCGCAGGTGTCTACACAGCTTGGAGACTTCAAATCAAGGCAAAGCTTGAAAGGAAGGGTCTGGGCGCCCCTGAACAGCAGTCAAGCAGCCAGTTTGCCCTCCGCCTTGAAAATTGCTTTTTCTTTGCCGTATGCTTTCCTGAGCATGCCGCTAGCAGGGTTTCTTCGGTACCACGCACACACATTTCCAATGCAGGGTCTCGCCGGTCTTGCCGCTAAGGCGCGCAACCTCAATGCCCTGCAGCATGTGGCCACGTTCCTTCAGATTCTCCAGCCTGAAACAGACCGAAGCTATGGCCAGGAGCAGCCACGTGCACGGCCGACGACCATGCCATCCTATTTATTGCCCGCGGTACGATACAAAGTTCTGCCCTAAGAGCATGGACAAGCTTCAAGCACTTGCGCATCATGAGTTTCTAAATTGCAATCCGATGATGGAGTGCGGCTACGGCTACCTACGGGCGCACATCGAAATAGCCTCGAAGAATGTAAGCCCAGCTGCCCACCCATATTAGTGCCGAGCTGGCTACGGTGCTCAAGCGCCACTACACCACGATGCTTGCCCTTCTTCTTTCCCCCATGCCGTCCTCCCACCGAAGTCACGCACCAAGGTTATGTCGGCCACATGTGGCTCAGGCCTCAGTTGTGAGTTTGGGATGCACCAACTCTTCAAAACACAAAAACGCAGTCCTCTGAAACCCTTTGAAGCCCTAGGCTTTGCTCCAAGAGTTGCCTGAAGAGAACTTGAGCCCAGCGTCCCACCTGTCTTCCCACGCTGCACAACCTTCATACGCTCCTCGAGGTGGCTCTTCCTCAGAGGCCCGTTCTCGGGTTCTGTGCTGCCACTGCCCCAATATGTCGATATGCTAAGAGTGATCCTGTAGCTGTAGCTTCTAGGGCGGACGGTGAGCAGCACCCTAAGCTTTCCATGCAGGACGAAGCTTCAGCAGGCGCATGTAGTCAGGTTGGTGGTCGATCCTGACAAGTGCTGGTGATGCTCTGGGAATACAAGGCCAGTCCGAAACGCAGATGCTTTGACAACAGCCTTCTATTTCGGCATGAAGAACATCAATCGTGCGACCCGGATGGTCTGGTAGAGTTAGCTTTCAAGAGATTCTGGTTCCGGCACACACTACAAGTCACATGTGTGCACCCGCCTGGTAAGTGTTGAAAGGGTATTGGGTCAGCTGCGACAACAACATGCAATATGCCCGGGGGTGGCCAACACACGTTCCACGAATGCACTGATCTGAGCCGTGTCCCACTCCTCGGGGGCAACTTGTCGATGACGACCGCAAAGTCCTCTTGACGGCGATGGGCTGCGCGCGTCCAGGAACGCTAGGTAAGGCTACTCTTTCATATGAGGGCTGTTTCTAGACGTAGGTTGTTCCCCAACGGCAACAATTTAGACAAACTTAGGGAACTGAGAGGTGGGACCCTAGAGTCCTGGACCGAAACATTCTCGAGGTCATCCGACTTTGTTCTCCGTGGAATCTCAATGAAGCCTGCGCGTTTGGCCAAAGCACTGGCCAAAGCAAGTTGCGACTTGGAATCATAATGGCTTTTTTTGAGGTCACACTTTCAAGACTGAACATGGGATGTATAAGCATTCTTGTGCGGGTAGTGGTTACTTTTGGCGGGGGGGGGGGGGGGGGTTCCAGACTACCTCTTTGCAGCCACGTAGCGGAATCGGACCAAGTAGAGGAACAAAACGATCCTAGCTGAAGGGCGCAAGGATTTTCCAGAAACCAAAGCGCCAAGGGGGCAGGCTGCACGCACAAAAAATGACTCTAAACCTTAAACCCTGTTTTTGCTAATCCCTCTTGGGCTGTGCCAACTGCAGCCTGGAGACATGGAGGCAAGGTCAAGCCAAGCGAAGACTGGTGTCAAGTCTGACAGTTCAGCTCCATCGCAACCTACCCGAACAATACGTAGCCTTGGCTACACACAAGGCGGCAGCTGTGTACAGACGGGTCGTGCAAGATCACGCCAGGGTCACGCTTTCAGCAGATATCTGAAGCCTTGTGCCAGGTCGCAAGGGGTCCAGCACTTTGGTGTCCTCACATCTGCAAGCACGGGAAGCCGGGACCAAGAAGGCACAGAGGACTACTATGACTCTTGCTCATATGTCAAAGCAGGCTCGGCGTCTAGAGTCAAGAAGAAGGGCAGAAGTGACGACAGAAACACAAACACAATCTAAGACAGGGAGCCAGCAGACATCGAGAGAACAAATTCTGCGGAACTGCCCAACTGCATGACGCTTGCTCCAAGGCTCTGCTAGCAGGCCCAGGTTGCCAATGGAAGCACGAGCCTGTAGACGCATCAGAACTGGTGTGAAAGAAAGCCGGGCCATCACCTCCTGAAGCCGCGACGAGTCCTTCCACATCCCCTTTTTTGGAACCCAGCTGGGGCCACGCGCACGTTCCCTAAATTTAGATACCCTAAACCCTAAACCCTAGACCCTAGACCCTCCTAGACCCTAAGCCTCCCCCCCTTTGAAGCCATGCCAAAGGAGCCAAGAATTGCCCGTTGTCCGGGGCAAAGGTGCCAAGCAAGCAGAAGGCCGAGGTCGGGAAGGTGATGGCTGCCTCGCTCGGGGATTCCAAGGCACCGAGCGGCATAGAAACGACGTGAAACGACTCACACATTCTGCCCTTTTCCAACCAGGTCTGCACAGCTGCCGGGAAAGTCAGGCTCACACAACCAGCTTCACATTCTGCCCTAAAATCCTAAACCCTCAACCCTAAACCCGAAACCCTAAACCCTAACCCCAAACCCTTGCTTCCACTGCTTGACTTCTTGACCCATGCTCCCTGTGATGCCTCCTTCACTCCAGCGCTAGAATCGCCAGATGTAAGACTCAACATGTCCACTCTGCATTCCCATGCCTGCCTCGAAGCCCCGAAACTTTCAACCCACCAATGCACCAAGACTAGGGCGTTACAGTGGCCGAGCAGAAAGTCGCGCAGGAAGGGGCTTTGGGCTTCGACAACCCAGCTGTGCAACCCAACAGCCAGCAAGACAAAGATCATCAGGTTCCGTTCCGTTCCGAGGGCTCCGGGACAAATGGCCCCCCGCCTCTAAAGATAGAAACCTAACCCTTCGTGCACAACACACGATGCTGCTTCTTGCCAAGACCTGCCCAGTCCACCCCAGGGCGAAACAAAGTAAACAATTCGTGTGGGATCTGGACATGGCGCAATGCTGCCTGAGTAAGCGGGCAGGGTCTATTGATCTCTTTCGGATGCGCAAAAAGGGCCGAAATTTGGTTCGGACTTTATGTGCAGCCCGTTAGTGCAAAAGATAGCTTTGTCGGCACCAAGGCGCCATAGTAGCGAAGAGAATTCCCAATGTGCGCAGAGTGGTGAAATACATCTCGAGCCCTGTTCCACCGATCTGACCTGTTGCAGAACATCTCAGTCACCAAGCCCTTGCCTCACACAGCTGCATGGCTCTTCATGAGAGCTGAGGTGCTGAAGCCATCGATGTCTGTGCAGAACGGGTTCAGCCACTTTCCACCCTTGGGCACACTGCAACAGGCGGTCTGGCTGCAACTCACGGCGCTAGATTGCCGGATCCACAAACCTGGAAAGTCTTTCCAGCGCCCTGGCGCAACGACACACCTCAAAAATGCACTGCATCATGCATTCTCGGCCAGGCGGCTACCGTTGCACTCGAGTTCCTCCAGGCGAGCAGAGACGCAAAATCACCCTGGCAACCACCCCGAGAAGACCACGAACTCCACACGACAAGGTGGTGGCAACCTGGTGGCAACCCGGCGAGTTTGTGACAACTTTGTGACAAGAGGCACTAAGTGTCGCTTGGCCGACGGCATGTCAGGCTCCGATCGGCGAATATCGTCCTTGCAGGTGCAAGAGCCAAGTGTCTTTCGAGCCTTTGGCAAGGACACTCGGCAGGCGCCATGAAAAATCCCATGAATCATGGCAGTACCTTGGCCCCACAGCCTTCGAACCTCGGCGACCTCACCTCAACTCGTCCACTCCCCTGGTCATGACAAGCTGAAAAGGCGTCGAAGATGTTATGGTTGACTCCCCTGCAGCTCCTTGACGGTGGATCTTGGCTTCATGCTGCCTGCACGCGACAGGTCGAAAGGGCAAACATGCAAAAGTGGAACTGCGGGGACTGCTCCAGATACTGGCAATTTTTTCACTTCGCAGGATGCGCATTGACTCAATTTGACTTTTTTAGACTGATTGTCAACCGTGCTTTAGCCCCCACGGCAGGGAGGTAAGCCACTCTGCCAGTCGCACCAAAAACTACATGAGAAGTCGAGGCACTTTCCTCTTCGAGGCCCTTCAGGCCCTTCGCTGGTCGTCGGCCTTGCAAGGACAGCGCCAAAGCCGTAAATGCGAAAATTCAGATGTTGGATGCTATGGCAGCCAGGTGGCACCAAATCATGGGAACCAAAATCAACGCGACGAGCCCGAGTGACGTCGCGGAAGAGATAATCCAAACCTCTGTGTGGCAGCGCAAGGCAGGTTGTCATTTATATAGAGTCTGCTGTTGCTTGTGTGCGTGGTGCACTCATCTGCACGACGTGAGCTGGGTTCATGGCGCGGGCAAAGTTGCTGCCACCCGTCCCGTCCATGCTGATGGAACCACAATCTGCCTGCAACGACATGGCGGTGAGGAAGACATGCCAGAAACATGTCAGCAGATCGCAGGTCTGCTGCATTGTGACAACACTGAGTATGGCTCTGGCGGGGGGGGGGGGGCCCGGGGTAGGAGAGGGATAGGGATGGGCCCTGGCCTCCTCGGCCCATGTGGCCAAGGCCAGAGTTCCATTGGCTCGGCCCGTCTTATTCAGCCACGCCGATAAGGCTGCGGTCGCCATGAGGCTATCAGCAGCGGCTACCAGCGGCTACAATTTGCCAGCAGCTGCACGGAAGTCGCGGACTCACTACCAGTACGGGCAGCAACTGTGGTTGAGTGGAGTGTCTACTTCTGACATGCTCAAGTGCTTGTCAAGAACCTTTTTACCTAGTTGTTTGCGAGCTTGTGTAGTGATCGGTAGTGAGTCCCGGCTAGCGCGAGCTGAGGACAAGCGAGCACCCTGCACAGCTGGCAGTTTCTCGTTTGATACCGAGTAGCTGCGGGAAGGCGTGCACAGGTAGACCGCCTGCCTGCCATGTGTTCCTCCAGCAGAAGTAATTCTGCAACAGGCTCAAAAAGGATGGTTCCCTGAAAGGCTTTCAGCAACTAAGTACTAACCAGGGTTTGGGGGGAGTAAATGGCGAAGCAGCAAAGCCTGAAGGGATGCTCGCGCTCATCTCGGCGCCGCAACCTGCCAAGAGCAGTATGGCAACTCCCAGTGTCCAGCTCACGAAGATGCTCATAGATTGTCAACCCTTGTCCCCACAATGTGTGTTGAATCGCTGACATCTCTCACATCAGCACCCTAAACCCAAAACCCTAACCCCTAAACCCTAAACCCCCACTCTCAAAACCATCTCCCTTTCTAATGTTCGCGAACTGAAGCTCTGGCCGAAGCCATGGGCCTGCTGCTTTGGCAGGTGGCTCTCTTTAGGGAAGCTGTGCTTGCGGGCAATCGCCACAGGATGTCACAGCAAATTGGGTTCAGCAGCGAACCCTGATTCAGAAACCATGATGTGGCAACCACGCAAAGTGGCCTTGGAAACTGCCAGCTGCAGATTCGGAATCTTGATTTGAGGGCGGGGGTGTTGAGGGTTGGGCAGAAGAGGTCGAGATTCGGGTACCGGGATAGCTTCTGAATCGAGATAAGTTCTGAATCGAAGGGGGATTGGTGGTTTCTGTCTCGGGGCGTGTCGTTATTCGATATCGATCCCAATGGCTGATTCTCAGATAGTTGCTCATGAGGCCATCATCGCAGGGCAGCCAGCTCCTTCGTCCCGTAGTAGACTCCGGTAATGGCCCCAAGCGCCCCCACCAGAAGGCAGATGAAGTCGACAATCCACTCCTTCGGCTTTGGACTTGAAACAGGACAACTTATCCCTCAAAACCCTGGGGCAGCTAGCCACTGGCATCCGAGATTCATAGTAAGGGACTCGCAAGCCCAGCTGCCGCTGGATCGCCACCGAGAAAAGCACCGGAAGTATGAACACGGTGCCCTGCTCATCACATCTCATCACCCACTTCGCTTTATGAGGTTTAGCGGCTCTCCAGGCTAAGCTCACGTATGCACGGGTTTGCCAGCCTGGCCGGCGATGGCAGCAACTACATCCAGCAAGGCGCCAAAGAATGGCAAGCTATAGGCCAGGGCAGTGCAGAACCCCAGGAACCTTGGTTGCCATGCGAGGCACTACTACAGGCACTACACAAAACCTGAGCCGGAGCGTCGTGCAAAGAGCCTGACATTTGGGGATTTCCGAAAATAGGGGTACCCCTTATATACCCAAAAAATGCCATATAATCCTTTTGAAAGGAACCTACATCCTTTGAAGCCAACGGCCCATGTGGGCTCCAAAGCGACCTGTCAGAAGCCACGGAGCAGGAGACGTGGCAGCCGCATCATTAGGCCAGGGAGTCCGGACTTCAGAGCTCCCGCTCGAGTCCCCAGAGTGGCCTGACGGGGATGGCTGTTAGGGCATGCCCGTTGTCCTTCAGAAAGTAATGTCAAAAACCCTTAGGAAGACGGATGAACTGAGCAACTTAGCGATGTCCTAGCAGCTATTTCACACAGCCGCACCTCCAGGGTTTCTGTCCCCGAGTGGAAGGGCACTGGAAAAGCGAGCAGCACCTGGCAGGCTCTGCAACAGAAGAAGCTCAAACGAGTCCTTGGACAACCCGCGCCAACAACCGCACCGGTTGCTTCCAATTCCTGGATCTGCGACTCAGGCGCATGCAGAGTAATCACGCTGTACGCCACCAGCAGGCTCCAATTCACAGACTTCACCTGCCGCCCCGACAAACCTAGACTAAGTTGGAAATGCCAAGTGCAATGCTGAAATCGAAACTTCAATGGCAGGCACAGAAGTAGCCAAAAGGCATCGAGAGTTGTTGGAATCTGAGGTCTCTTTGTGGGGGCCTCTGGTACAGGAGTCAATTCTCAAAACTGGCGATGGGGCGCCTTCTTTAGAGCAACCCTAAACCCTGAACCCTAAACCCTAAACCCTAGAATTTAGGGGCCTCGTGTAGAACAACACCCCCAGACCCCCAGTTGGAGCTCTCCCACCTCGTCGCCTGGACAGCCAGACAGCCCGATGAGAACGTTCGAGTCCACCTGAGCCATTGAGCTTCCAGGATCCAACGCTGCACAGACCCACCCGTAAGGGCTGGAGAATCAAGGACCTCAAGATCTAGGGTTTAGGGTTTGGGGCCCTCCCTGCACTTTCTGAGTATCCGCCTTCTGGCTTGCCATGGCAACCCCGCCCACAGCAAAGCCAGCTGTTGCCACGGCAACGTAGACAACGATGATGAACCTTGGCGACTCTCCTGCCTGCAAACGTTGACGTGCGGATAGGACCCTGAAATCTTTTTCAACCTGGGCAAAAAGAACCAAGTCGCGAGTAGGAGCGCCAGGTGAAGCTCACCAGCGCCTGGGCCCACCACACAAGCTCCACCCTGAATTCCCCCCTACAGTTAAAAAGTCCGGCTGAGGGCTCGCTACCACCACGTGAGAGCCCGAAGCCGTCCGAGCGCGCAGCGATTTTGGACAGCGCACTCCTACTCTTATGCTCTTATACATTCTTGTGCAGCATCCTTTCTCGAACTTAAGGCGGCACCCGGGCTAAGACGCCGCGGATGTGGAAGTCCACCAAAAGGCTGGGAAGGACATTGATGCCTCCAAATCACAGCAGCTCATGTTCAGCTGGCTGCATGTGCGACACACCTACTTGGAGCAGCCGCACGACAGTGTTCCGAAAGACTTTGCTCAGCATGATAAACACCGCTCGAACTTCCGGTGCATAGCACACAGCTTGCTGCAAACACTCCTGCCCCAACACAGTTAAAGTAGCCATCACGGGTGCCTGCTAAGGCCAGCCTCGAGTCTCGCACTGGCTTCCAACTCTGCTCTGCACAAGATCGGCCCAGCTTCATTCCGACGTTCGGAGCACCCTACCCCAAGGCACACCCGGCCTCCGAAAGCGAAGACCACGGTGTTCCAGCAAAGGCAGAGCCCTTGCACATCCGTAATCAAGGGCCAACTGTTTCTTGCCCCATCGTCCAAACACCTTGAAGTCAGGGAAGGGGATGTCATGCTTCACCCAAATCTTCAACAGGCTCTTCGGGCCCTTCTTGGCAAGCCGCCCGTCCAGCTTGGAGGGGTCTGTGGTGAAGGCAGCAGCCACGACAACGACCTGGCGGAGGGCTCAGGTGCAACTCAGCCCTGCCATCTTTGCTGCATCTTTTTCGCTTCCAGACATTCGCTAACACAAGTCTAAAGTCTTCTTCGCGGTTGAAATTCAGGGGTGGCACATAACCCAAGCGATGCCCAAAGCCACCCCACAGATCGCCGAGCATAGGGATCCGAGCGCCGTGAGCAGGAAGGTCTCCTTGACTGTGGCCATGAAGTAGCCTGTTCTTCGCGGGCAAGTTCGAAGAGGAAAAGGAGGCAAACAGATCGGAAGCTCTGAGGCTCTGAGGGGCTCTGAGGCTCGGACAGGCTCGAAAAACATCTGTCCTCAAACTCTGCGCCCCAAATATCCCTGAGCTATACCTCAGAACCTGTTGGCTCCAAGTCGCATGGGATCAGCTCAAACGCCGCGGCTACCAGGATCACACTCCGCTTGGAGAGCCAGTCGACGCCCAAGATCCTCGTGCGACAAGGCTGAAGTTCAACCAGGTGCCCTGCAGTATTGTCTAGTGGCTGTTAGCTGGCTTTGGTCTGCATAGCATCATTTGAAACGATGGGAGGGGAGGGGGCATGGCGCATGCCGGCCCAACTGGGCTGACATGTCCGATGGCTAAGGCGCCGTTCCACTTGTGAGGCATTTACCCCGATCAAGACGAGGAAGATCGTGGAAACACCGACCAGCATGAGACACCTTGCTGAAGGTGGCCAGAATCAGATGCTACAACTGGCGTTTAGCCAGCGCAAGAAGTAAGCCGATGTGGCCGTCAATGAAACAAATGCACACTTTTCATCCTGTGCACATCCTGTCCTTCACGTGAATGATAGCTGAGAGGCTGGAGAAGCTTGGACACCACATACCCAAAGTTCCCCATAGCCTTAGACAGCAGCGTCGGTCAAGGGCGGCGCTGGGCGCAGTCGGGGATGGAGCTTTGTTTTTGCCGAAGGATGCAGCCCCTCTATGGGTTTCACGGCTTCACGTCTGATACGACCCATGGTGTGTGCGTGGCAGCACCGACCCACAGCCCCGGGCAATTCATCTGTCTTCTAAGGGGCAATATTTTGGTACTAGCTGGAAATGAATTGAGCCCCTTCGCTAGCTGCACCAAAGGGTACCCCATCCATTGATCCAGCGCATGACCATCGCCCGTGAATGCTGCAAACTCCGACGAGTAGATGCTACAGTGGAGCAAACACGAAGCAAAGAACCCCGACCCTCAAGAACCTATGAACCTGTGGCACATACATTCTGCTACTTCTTTTTATTACAGAGCTAAATATAGTTCTAAAGAACCACATCAGCCAGGAGTCTTGGTACCCGATGTTCTCATAGCTCGGAAACATCTCTTCGTCCCGACCATCGCTGCTGCTGCCCTTGCATATGCGGCTCCCCCAGGAGACACTGCGCGGGGCGCAGGAGAACGTCAAACACCCGCAACTGTCCAAACAGAGCCCAGGCACATCACTGCCATCACTGTCGGTCCTTTCGCTGGAGCCCTCGGAGTCGGTGTCCTGACATGGGGGCATCATTGGTTGGGCCTAGGAAACCCCCCGCCTTTGCAAAGCAGCAACCCTCTCGCATGTAATGCTGCGGCCATGCTTTCCACATCAAAGGCGATAAAGCAGCTGAGGTGCTGATGTCGTGGTGGCTCGGCCACTGTCGAGGGCGGCCTGAGTGGCCCGTGCCAGGCTTCGGAATTACGAATTATGGAATGTGCACAGCCAGGTGTGCCCAGCGCTTTTAACTGGCCGTTGTATGCCGTTTATCGGCTACATTTGTCAGACACCTGTCGCCTATCACATGTCTCGCATGCCACATGCTAACCCTTCGAAGCATGGGCCTTTGGTGCCAAACCCGTGCCTGCGTGTGGAGCATGATCCAGCCAAAGAGGTAGGAGGTGTAAGCAGCGCAACAGGCGCAAAGCACGATGATGGGAATGCCTGTGCTGCAAGGGGAGGTTGGCAAGACCCCACACTTCAGTGAAACTTTGTCGCCGAAAACAAGCTGGCAACACAATAAGAGGCAAACCACGACTTCGTCGAGAGCCTAGGGCCGCGTGCCCTTCAAAGCCCGGATGCCCACCCACCCGGCATGCGCAACGGCGGGCCCCAAAGCCAACAGCCCAGCGCCGACCTGCGAGGCGGGCTTGTGACTCAGGGACTCGATGCAGAAGGGCATCCACATTTAATTCTCTGAGGCTCCGCAGAGTGGGCGGGAAACCCACTCGGGCGGAACATAGTTCGTTCGTAAGTTGAAAGATCAGGGTGATTCATCGCACCAACATCCATCGACGCAACTGCTTCCAGAAGCCTCGTGCCTGCGTGCAGACGTACGCCAACGCCGCCCTGCGAACATGGTCCGGACGCGGCCCGCGAGCCAGAAAGCTCCTTGGTTCTGAGGGGTGACGAGCATCGGGGGCTCATACTGTTCCGCCAGCAACACCACCACCCCCAACCCACCCATTCCGTAACCCTCGCCATGACCTAGCAAAAAAATGCGGGACATGATTTCGGACCCGGTCCCTGCACCTATATCCATCACAGTGGTCGTCCTAGAGCGCTTGTCATGGGAACCTCCTCTCTTCTGTCCAAGGTGCTGCAGGGGTCCATCTGCCCCTTTGTCTGGCATGGCTATGAACAGGCAACTGGCACCTGAAGAACGACAACACCTGCCAAGTCAGTCTGGTCCTCTTCAGCTGTCCTTAAAACTTTAAACGAGCCACAGCTAGTCGGCACCCGAGGCTTGAAAGTGTCACGGCGAAGGCATTGGCATGAGAAGAGCGAACCACCACACTGTACACTTTCCACTTTTAATGGCACAAGAGTCTGACAATCTGTTTCAAAACATCGATGCATCTGCTGCTAAGGTCCGAATTATCAGCCCGATGGGGCCACATATGCCCTGCCCCTATCACACCAACACTGCGGATTCCCAAGAAGCCCTCGACTCAAGCTCTCCCAAGTAAGGGGTCACTGAACTCTGCATCTTTCGAAAGACTTTGAGGTCAGATGCCTGCATACCGTGTGCCAAGACACTCCTACACAAAGCAAGACATTCAAAGTTCGTAGCGGTCAGGACCGCTCAACAGACTGGTGTAGGCGAATAGATGGAAATCACTGCACTAGCTTCTTGCGCCGCTGAACTTCGAAGTTCCACTCGAAGCCTTCAACAAATCAACAAAGAAATGAAGCGGCAGACCCACCAGGCGAATACGGGTCTAGATATATTCGGGACTAGTGACAAACTATAATGCTTGGAGAGTCCAGGGCCTAGCATGACCGCGGCGTTTGAACCTGTCAATTCTGCCTTACGCCGTGCCTCTGGTGTTGCAGGCACGCATGGAGATGAAGTGCCATGTCGAAACCTGGGATTCGGCTACAGGGTCCATCCATAAGATCCGGGTAGACCAAGCATTCCAGCGCGAGCTGCAGCACCACGACAGGCCTTCCTGCATGGGGAATGCAATCTTGGCTTCCGGCGACCCCCGGACTCGTTGGAATCTTCTAGGGGATGCGCCTGACGGAGTTGAAACTCACAACCCAGCACACGGCGTCGGCAAGTCAAGACGGAGCTGGATGCACATGGGGTTCCGACATCGCATGAAGCAGGCGCCGCTTTTCAGCTAGTCCATCGTATCAATCTCGAACGGTGCAGACACCACTCCAGAAGAGGCATGCGGGACCTTCCTCCACTGCTTGCCTTGTCTTTTCCCTGGCGATTCCTGCCATTCAAGCTGCCTCCGCTTCTCCAAATTGTACAGATGCTTGTTGACATCCTTTGCTGTGCCACCCGGCCCAATCACAGCCTTGGAAATGGCCAGTGTTTCCATCCACTCCCCAGACTGCAGGCATTCCAGAATCTTCTGTTCTTCGGGCGAAGCTGCATCACTGGCCGGTGAACATGCTTCTCTGGCAGAAGCCTCAGGACCTGCAGAAGGAGCTGAGGCCTCGGCCACCGATGCCGTCGAAGAGGACCGCGGGCATGGCGGCTGCAAATCTGTGGGGGCTGTTCTTGAGGAGTCGCTGTCCTTACGGCCAATCCTGCACCCCACCTGCTCCCTGGGCTGCCGCAACCGTTCCGCAATTCGCCTCGCAATCTCCGGGTGGGACAAACTACGACAGTCCAAATATGCAAGATCGGGACTCAAGACTTTCGTGATGAGAGCCCGGGCTTCGTTGCCATGTTTTTCTGGGGGTCGCAGTTCCCATGGCGAAGCGTCGGTCATCTTCAGTGGCAGAACCTGTATACTGTACTTGTCTGCGTAAGCAAGTTCCTGGAATGTCGAGTACGGAGATCCGGTCTTCTCCGCGTAGTTTCGCGTGCACACGGCCAGCAGGACTCCATCCTCTTCCCTAATCCTATCTTGGTGTGACTTGACCTGGTCGCCGAAGCTCTCCCCAGCCCCAGCCTCAACCAGGAGTATATCATACTCGTGCGCTTTCAGAATGTGCGTGACCTCTTTTGCCATTTCTTTGGCCTTCTTTGCATCGGGGTCCCCGTCAAAGCGCAAACTGAAGAACCCCGGTCGCGATCCCTTGCCGTTTGGAATGCAAATCGAGGCCTGACCAATCACCTGCAGCCAAGTGCGAGGGTTGCGTGGTACACATATGCTCCTACCTGTCTGTTCATCTTGAGTCCCCGATTCCTGATACACTCAAGCAAGAATATACTAGTGCCACACTGGCAAATAGCCTCCTGCGGCGGGCCGGCTGGAGATGGATCCGAGGGTTCTGACCCGTCCGGCATGGCCTGCGAGGAGATGTGAACATGAGTCTGCTGAAGCTTTAGGTGCGGCGGCGCGCTGCATCTCGCCTCGTGGAAAGCAGGGCCCGAGGTTATGCTGGACAACCGGCCATTATCGCAGAAGCAACCATTTGGCGATTCTTCATTGCCCAGGAGAGTATTAGTTTTTAGCCTGCAAGATGTTTGATGATGCTGGGGTGCCAATCTGCTTTGTGCAGAAGCACATGTGTGGAGACCATTCTTCAAAGAGGCGTGTGTGCATTATAGTTACCACCGCTGACGAAAGCTGAGGATACCTCATGGTACGAGTACATGGCACAAGTTGTGCTTTCCCTCGCATCCGCGAATTGGTCACTGGAGGAGGGTGCAACATTCAACTCACGCAACTAGGGGTTCCCATATGTTCCAGAAGACTAACCTTCTTGTGTACCAGCACGCTACCACTACCTATCTCTCTTCGCATGACCCTAACGAGCATCAATGGTTAAGGCAGAAAGCGCTTTCTTTAAACCGGGTTGGGCCACAGGCGTTACCTCTACACTGGAGCATGTCGGGCATACGCAGTTTGAGCAACCGTTTACGGTTTTTTCTGGCGGCTTCGAGGCTCTGATGCCACGGTATATGGTGCAGAAGTGCACAGTTTGGCATGCTTAGCTTGTGGTTTCGGGCGAGACCCTTGTTTGAGGCCCCGGCACATCGGCAATAGTTTTTTGTCACCTGCACGTGGAAGAGGTCGAGAAACAGGATGCTTGTGGCTGCAGGGGAGGCAGGGGATGGACACCCTGATCGCGCCTTGTGGTTGGCAAACTGCAGCAAGGCCATGGAACAAACCCCTCTGCACTTACAAGTGACAGCACACCCTACACCGTACACCCTTTTCTGTAATGGGCTACAGTAGCCCCGACCCTGAACTACTGCAACGACTCTCCGGGCGCTACAGTCGAAGGAGTTTATGATACCTCCAAAATCATGGTGGAGCCTTTCAATTCTACAGACAGCTGAACTGAACCACCGCGACGGCGCCCACGGCATGCAGAACCACGTCGGACTCCTTCCCAGATGCTCCTGCTGCTCAAGAGCTGTGGAACTAACTTGGAATGCATCCTCACATGGCGTGGCTCGAAGGCATGCCTATCAATCCATGCGGGACACTCTTTCTGGCCATTGCGAGCAGCTCGAAGCAACAAAGACGGGAGGTTGCACCAAAATTTGGGCATGCTGTGCTAATTCTGATCTGTGCTGCAACTTCAGGGCCATGCGTTTGATATCCGGGTTCAGTGCAAACTCCCGACCTCCTGGACAAACAGTTCATCACACTTAAATGGCTTGGCTGCAGTGATGCGTCAATTAAGGCCGTCCCCCCCATGAACGACCACGAAGGGGGATCTTGCCTATTGTGTACAGGCCAGTTCTTGTGAAACTGGCTGCGTGCATGCAGATTTGACTGAAGCCCACTGAAGGCTTGATCTTTGAGAGCAGGTGGCACTGGAACCTGTGCACCTGGTGGGGGGCAACCCACCATCACTGTCTGTCCAGTTGCAGTGACCTGGGGCTGAGCAGGCACTGCTGCAAGCAAAAACCTAGAACAGCCCAGTGGTCCATCTCTCTTCATGAGGGTGTGTGCGCAAATCTGGCGCATCTCCTTCTCAGACTGGCGCCTTCCTCTCAATTCCACTTCGACGCTCTTAGGCCTCCACCTGGCAGCAACAGAACACCGCCTTAACCCGGGATTGATTCGGCACTAGAGCCACTAGAGGCTTCCTCTGCGCTCGTCTGCAATGGCCCAAATGCAACGGCCGAAATGCATAGGAAGGCCGGCCTACTCTCTAACTCCGCATGACTCCTCACACCCCAACATGTAGGCCCGTCCCAGCATTTTGCTGTTCAAAAACCGAGTGCTCCGAAGCTGTTCTGCACCTGCTCCGCCTCGGGCGGGGCCTCAGCCGAGGCCGCCTTGGCTGCGGCCTCCTCTGCGGCCTCGGAGAGAAAAAAGAGGAGGCCCTGGGCCCTAAATGCCACTCAGACCCAGACTCGTTCGGACCCGGCCCAAGACCCCTTTCTGGAGTCCCGACCTTCGCCAGCTCTCGGCGCTTCTTCGCAGAGATGCGATCCTTCAGCTCCTGCAGCTGAAAGCCCAGGGCATCCCCCCTCAGACAAGAAGAAGGCGATGTTGGGAGACGTGTGCAAGAGCACAAGTAGGAACTACAGGCGTGCAAGTCATGTTGGGAGAGCATCACGAGGGAAGGCCCCACAGAAACCAACTTTGCGCCAGGGATGCTGGCAAGAGGGGGCACTCCCCTGTTAAACACATCATCATCATCATCATCATCATCATCATCATGATCATCGTCGTCATCGTCGTCGTCGTCCTCCCCCTCCTCCTCCTCCTCCTCCTCCTCCTCCTCCTCCTCCTCCTCCTCCTCCTCCTCCTTCCCCTCATCACCACTATCGTCCTTACAACTTATCTAGCATCACCTGTTTGATGACGATGCTGATGCTGACGACGACCATTGGTCGCCACCACAGCCCTCGTCGTCACTCCCGCCATGATCCTCATCCTTACCCCGACCACTATGATCATCGGATATCATCGGCAGCGGCAGCAGCAGCAGCAGCGGCAGCAGCAGCAGTGGCAGCAGCAGCAGCAGCAGCAGCAGCAGCAGCAGCGGCAGCAGCATCGGCGGCAATGGCAACAGTCAAACTGCTCACAAGAGCTGACGTTCTGACAGATGTTGGGAGAGGTTCCCCAGAGATGCTTCTTCGGGCTGTTGTGCCGTATGCAGCCCTGAAAAGTAGCACACTGAAACTTGCCGGCGCATCCTTGAAGGTGGCTAGGCTTTCATCCACATAGGTTTCCAGCTCGGCCTGAGGTGTCAGAGGAGGGTGTCAAAGCACTCGCCTTTGAAGCTTGACTCCCAAAGTTCCAAAGCTCAAAGGCGCAAACACAGGAACATGAATCTCATCCCGCAATCACCTTCCGAAACGCTTCGCCCACACAAGCGCGTGTAGGAACCTTCTTGGCGTCTCTCGTTTGCGTAGCTGTCTGGTACTCGACCTTGTAGTCCTCGAGGGGATGTGTCATGCACCCAGGCTGCTCAGCAATGGCAAGACAACAGCAACCACTCCGGTGCTCTTGCAACTACGCGACTGCCGCGGCTTTCTTCGCAGCTGCCACCGCAGCTGCTGCCTCCTTCTGCGCCTTGCACAGCTTGACATCTACACAGAAAAGGCTGGGGATGCGCAAGCAGGCACTGCACAAGGACTGCCTCAAGTGCTCAGGCCTAAAGTCGGCCTAAAGTCCACCACTCTGCAAGCTAGCCTCTTTGAGAGCGCAGAGTTCGACGGACACCTGGGCTCCAGCAAGGTCTTTGTTTAAGCATTGCTATGGATGCTGCGTGGCGCGACCGCGTCTTGTCTCAGCTTCCCGACTTCTTTCTGCTTCGACTCCGCAGCTTGATGTCCATCTTCAGCCTTCTGCACCTGGCTGCCGTCCCTACGCGCATGCTCGCGTCAGAGGCTGGGACGAGATACAAGCCCACATACGTTGCTACAAAGGTCTCACATCTCATCGGTCTTGCATATCGGGAGCAAGTGAATACCGTGACAGGACGGAACTCTGTAAATTGAAGTGCCCCACTGTCTCGGTTTCGAGAAACTCAGCAGCAGCGCTTGACACGAAAAAGCAGCGCACGTGTTGATGTGTGCAGAAGGTTGCTTTTGAGCCTCTCGTAGAATAGTATGGAGCTAGGGAGCTATCTAGCTAAACCCTAAACCCTAAACCCAAAACCCTAAATTTTGGGCATCCTCGAGCTCCCTTATTCTTAAGGTTCGGAAGCCTCGGCTGCACGCTCGGCAGCTGAAGGCGCAGCAACCGCCAGCTGCGCCTCGAACCTGTATGTTGAAGATCACACATTTGAGGGCTTCCAAGAATGGGGGTACCCTTCTTCGGGTTCCTTGAAAAGGGTTCTAGAGTATTTTGGGGTATATAAAGAGTTAGCCCTATGTTCGGAAATCCCCATGTCCACTGTACTATATATGCAGGTGGAAAAACTACAGGTGCGGATGTTTAACCTGTCGGAGCGTGAGGGTGTTTCAGCAAATGCAACCTGTCGATGAGCTTCCTATTGACTCGCTTCGTTTGCCACTGACGATCCAAGGAACTCTGCCAACTTGGCCGCGAAGTTGGCCTCCAGCTGCTCCAGAACCTTGAAACGTTGAAGCAAACTACCGGGCACTCTCTGGCGCGCTTGCCCTCGTGCAATCTGGCGGCAATCTGGTCGAAGCCCCCACGCTCCTGCGAAGCTGAGGTCTCTGGCAAACCGATTTAAATTGCGAGGAAGTCAGCTGGAGTTTCAAGTCGCGTGCTGGGCTGCAACCTTGGCATACCCGCTTCAAGAACGAACGCCATATTCAAGTGGTTGAACCCTGGTCCTGGGGTGGCTTCACAAGAGTAGTAGGCGCGGCAGTGATGAGCGAAGCGTCTGCAGACGTCTGCTTGATGATGAGCCTCTGGTTCAGGAACATGCAACATGCTGTATAAACCTGACGTTCTATCATATCCAGGTTGAATGGCGTACCTGGAGCTGCGGAATACGATGCATGCGAGAAAGGGCATGTGAATGTGCGCATGCGCACGTGCAGCATCGTAAGCCTGTTGATTAGTCAATAGCTTCAACAATCATTTCCGATATGTGGAGCCATGTGTGCCACATGCCCGAATACAATCCTTTTCAGACGGAGCAAGATGCCCGTACCGTGCTCCGCCACCTGCTCCTGAAGCCCCACCTCTGCTTATAACTACAGTCGATGCAAACTGACTTGGTCACAGCAGCAACGCTTCAGGATTTTCAGCGTCACATTGTTGAACAGAATCGGAATGTCGGCACTACTCTCGTGCCTGTGGACGCGTACTGGTGTGATTACATGGCAAGGGTCAAGATTAAAACATCGACCGGTCGCTCAACATGTTAGTGTCAAACATTGGGCCGAAAATGGTGTGGCACTGGTTTGGGGACCCAATGGCCCGTCCGCCGAGTGCTTCACTCGAGCTTCTTCAGCAACGGCTTCGCCTCCTGCGCACTTCTGCCGATGTCCCGAGGGTCAGGCCCCAGAGTTCATCCCACAACAAGAGGTCCGAAGCAACCTCACCATCCCTTGCACTTGCACCTGACGATACTTGACGATACTTCCACCGTTCAACCTCCAAAACCCTTCAGACTTCAAGGGGCTCCTTGCCCACCACCGACCCGGACTTCAGCTTCTCGTAGCACTCGGCCCTGGTGCTTTCCAGCAGCTCCTGGACAGCACTTCAGGCCACAAGAGCTGCAAGCCCAGACCCTCATAAGATCAAACAAAGCCTTCCATGGACCGCAAGCAGACTGCGGCAGGCTTCTCTTTGCGTGTAGCCCTGCAGACCGTTGCAGGCCTTGTCGGCGCGCACTTTCACGATGCCTTCATCACCTCAGCTAGGACATCAAGACAACCAACCACGAGCAAACGCACCTTCGAGCAGGCGTTCGGGACTTTGGCCTTCGAAACCCAGCTGCTGCGAAGTCACCATCTTTCTGCTCCTTCAGCCGCAGGCTCAGCGCAGCTTTGGTATTGCACACGGCCTGCAGGTTTGGGGCCCAAAGCTCCACCCAAGCTCAACCCCGGCTGTCGCCCTCACTCCTAAACCCTAAACCACCCTAAACCCTAAACCCCTAAACCCTAAACCCCTAAACCCTAAACCCCTAAACCCTAAACCCCTAAACCCTAAAACCTCAGTCGCGTGCCCAAGGGGGCCTCGGAAGCCGCCTTGAGCCTTGCTTCGCACGCAGATGTGTTGTCCTCGCTGCGGGGATCCTATGATTTTCCATGACTTTCCCATAATCGTCCATAATCCATATACCATACATACATACATACATACATACATACATACATACATACATACATACATACATACATACATACATACATACATACACACATACACACATACATATATGTATGTATGTATGTATACATATGTATATATACATATATATATATATATTTATTTATTTATTTATCTATTTATTTATGTGTGTGTATGCATGTGTGTGTATGTATGTACACCTATATATATATATGTGTGTGTGTGTATGTATGTACGTACGTACGTACGTACGTACGTACGTACGTATGTATGTATGTATACACACACACATATATATATTATTATATATATATATATATATATCATATCTCATATCGCGATCCACAAGCCCGCGCCTTGGCAGCGTGGAGCGCCAGCTCTGCGTCCTCGTGCGGCCACTCATGCGCACTGTGTGCTTCTGCTGCGGCTTTGGAAGGACAGCGCCGACCACCAAGTTGCAGGCACCGGCTCCACAAGAACGGTCGACGGAAAAAGTCGGAACTCCAGAATGGCTGCATGGAAACAGAACGGCAAAATCGAACACCAGAGCCGAATCGGAAACAAGAAACGAAAAAATCGAAAATTAGGGTGGCAATGCTTGTATCGTAAACAGGTACGGCTGAACCGGAAGAAAGGCTTTCCGCCCAACCCTACCCGGTGACGTGCGCTTGCTGATGCACAGTTTGTTGATGCGCGTGCCTTTCTGATGCGGCCAGCTTCTGATCTGTGATATTTCTGACTTGCAGTTTCGCAGCTCATTTCTAATTCGCAGTTCCTGATTTGTAGTTTCTAATTCGCCGGCTGGCTTCTGATTTTTCATTGATCCAAAAGAACTGGCCGTGTGGGCCTGATTTTTCGGGAACAACCCCACCAAAGATGCACGAACGTACTGGCAATCATACATGCCGGCCCGGTAGTCACAGCTCTGGCAAGCAACAACTTCGCTGCCTTTACAGTCTGGTCCAGTTCCTCTTTCTTCGCTTCGGCGCCTGCGAAGAAAGACCCAGACAGGCTCCCGAGCCTTCAACTGTATCCCGAAATCCTTAAACCCTAACACCCAAAAACCTCAAAACCCTAGAACCCTAAAACCCTAAACCCTAACATCCCCAGAGCCCTTCTTACCGCCATGCCTGCGACTTTCGCGTTCTCGGTGTCCAGTGCCACCTGCATGACGCCAAGGATCCTGGGTGCTGAGGGAGAGGGGACTTGCAGTTGATGTTGCAAAGCTCAATCTGTCGCAATATGGGAGTTTTACGAATGCAGGGGCTACCCTTTTTGAGGGTCCCTTTAAGGGGATTCTGTTTTATTTGGGGTATAAAAGGGGTACCCCTATTTTGGGAAATGCCCAGATCCCACTCATGGTCATTGACGCTTAAGCCTTACCTGCCAAACGATGGCCGAGATGCCCCGAGGTGACCTGTCCGAGTGCAGAGGACAGAGACTTTCGCATCTTTTGGAGGTGCTGATCTGGAGCTTTGCCCTTTGATCTTGGTCTGGGGGGGGGGGGGGGGCAATACCAGTGTCGTAAACTTCTTCATCTCATTCCAAAACCGCCTGACAGAGTTACGTGAGTTGATCGTTGCAGTACAGCTATAGTTAGGTGCCGTTCCTGCGCGAGAGCTGCTGTCCATGTGTCTGCGAGCACCGCCTGACAATAAAAGTAATCGCCCTTTTCTGTGGGCTTGGCTTCAAAGCTCGGCAGTTTCACACCTCCGAATTACTAAGGACGGCTGCAAGAAGCAGCGTCACTTCGAATTTTGCTGTCTGATGGCTGACTGCACGAGACTGCGGCGACAGTGCGCCAGAAACGAACCGCAGCCCAGACCAACAGAGAGCGCAGGTCAGCGCCAAAGCACGCCTGCTGTACACATACATATCCACATTGAAGCGTGCCGACTCACACGGCACAACAATCAAACCCCAAGATTGCTAGCAATGCTGAACCTGTGTCACGTCCCGGGTCCATACACCGTGTTTTTTTGGTGTCCGTCCTGCATCTCGTTCGAACCTCCCTGGCCAACGGTGGCAGGCACACGGGACATGATAGCATATGGCGTGAAACTCACAAGGGTCCTCCTGGATGTGCGCTCTACGTCTCTGTGTGCCCATGCTCTCCCAGGGGCTTATGTCCAGTCCCCTGAACCACCAAAATGGCATCAACTCCAGGCGAACTGAAAGGAATAGATACAACATGGCTTCCCCACGTGAGGAGATAAAGCTGCCAAAGCTCAAGCCCACAGCTTGAGCCACGGATCAAAGCCGTGGCAGCAAACGGACGTGGCTTCTTTAAAGGAACAATTTGCCTTGGCGTTGGGCTAGACTGCCCTCTCCGCGGCAAGCAGGCAAGATCAGCAACCTCCTTCTGCAAGTGACATCGCCTGCAAGGAGTCAGGGAGTTTGGTCAGGGCTGCAAAGGCGTGGCAACCTCTTGCCTCCGTTTGCTTACCTCAAGCAAAAACACGTCCCTTATGAACTTGAACAATCCCGACAGAGCCTCAGCCATCTTCACCTGCATAGCCTTGGACAAGTAAGACGATACATGCGCATTCGCTAGCAACTGCCTGAGATTGCCTGAGAATTCGTCAAGTTTGAACTCCATGCTGGCTGTGCATACTACAGTACAGCAACTGGCGAATCCGAGCAGCAGGAGGAAGCTTGTTCAAGTAGGTCGCCTTCTTCCTGAGGCTTACATCCGTCATTGCAGGAAAAGCAAAGTGGCCATTACCGATCTGTAGTCAAACCGTCTGACGATGAATTATTTCCAGTGTTTTGTTCGCGTAGTACTTTCAGCCAAGCTTGGGTAGTTTAAGACATCGCCAAGCTGCGATAACTAGGTGTAAGTGTGTTGTTCTTAAGTAATACGAGTGTGTCTGACCGAAGGTCCGACACCCCCGTTTTACGCGCGTCCAAGCATCATGGGGAAGCGAACAAGGACCCCTACTTGACCGTTGGCACCAGTTGCAGCTTAGCTGCTGAGGGTTCTTCAACTTGCTGAGCTCCTGCAGATGCTTCTCCACTGCTGTCGGCTTCCTCGCATGGCATGGCACTCGGGATCTGGAGCTGAACACCGCGAAGTCCGGGGCAGCGACTTCTTGGCAGCGGGCTTCTTCTGGGCAGAATCCGGCTGAGAAGCGCCTGCTCCCATCGCTGAGGCAGCTGGGCACAGCTAGAAAGTGAACTGAGACTTCTTGTCACAAGGAGCTCCGGGCCTGCAGTTGCCTGGCGTGCCTCAGCTGCAACCTGCGCAGGATCAAAATGATTCAAAATGATCAAAGATCAATCTGTTTGGGGAGATCACTGCACCGCCGCGCAAGACCACGCCTTTTCCGCGACCTCAATCAGCGTAGGCGGTCCAAGCCTGCACGCTTGTGCCCAAGTGCTTCCAGAGCTGTCTCGATAAATTGTTGCAGACGCTGGTTATCCCCAACACTCCCCCCGCCCTCCCGACAGCAATGATTACAACCGCCCACATCGAATCTTTGGCGGCCTCCGTGGCGATGTGGAGGAGGCGGACGCTGAGGGGGCGGAGGGTGCGGATGCGGCTGCCCGGAGCTCCTCGACGCGCTGCCGCGTGCTCGCGGACCTTGGCAACAAGGCATGAAAACAAGGAGCCCAGTACACATCCACAGGATCCACAGGTGACCGGGACTAGCGGACTGGGGTGTGACTCGAGGGTCATCCCGCTGTCAAACACACCCAGCAGAGAGTTGTAGACATAGAAATCGTGTGCGCGTGGGCCGTGGGCGCAGTGCAGATTTCAGTTTTCAGACCTTCAAGCCTTCGAGGGGCCTGCACTTGACACTTGCCTGTTGAAGGGCTGAAACCATAAACTAAGAAGCTGAGCACCAGGCAGATTCTTCAGATAGGCAGTCCGGGCCTTCTCCGTTTTGATCTTGCTGAGCTGCTCCAGGTGCTTCTCAGCATCGTCGACCTTCCTGGCCTCGTTGGAGTCCAAAAAAAAAAGTCGTAGCCGGGGGGGGGGGGGGGGGAAGCGTGGGGGAGCCCGAAAAGCACAAGAATTTTTAGCAACGCAACTCGAAGTTCGAAAGGACAAAGGCGCCTTGGAAGCAGGCTCCTTCTCCTTCGGCTCCTTTGGGGCTGCGCGCTTCTTGGGCTCCTCGGCTTCCGGAGCCTCGGGGGCCTCGGGAGCCTCGGGGGCCTCGGGGGCCTCGGGGGCCTCGGCCTCTGAAAGGGCGGCCGCCACCTTGGTTTGCATGGTGAGGGTGAGCTTGGCGATGTACTTCTCTTTTTGCTTCTGGGTTTTCAGCTTCGCAAGCTCGTCCATGTGCTTCTCCACTGCCGGTGTGAGCTTCTTCGGCTTCTTCACCTCATCAGGCTCCGCCTGCTGAGCAGCAGCTCGCTTCGAACGACCCGAAGTTGTCGGGGCCTCTGCCGCCGGCACATGCTCGGACTCTTCAGCCGCAGCTTGCTTCGCATTTCCCGCACGCTTCTTATCGGCCTTTTGCTTGGGTTCGCTGCCAGAAGGAGCTTCGGGCGCTGGCTCAGCTGCGTCAACAGCCGGCAGAGCATCGGCACACATCGACTGGGCCTCTGCCACCTTCATGCGCATCGTGAGCGTGATGTTGCCAAGGTACTCCTCCCTTTCGGCTTCCGTCTTCAGGCTGCGGAGTGCCTCCAAGTGCACGTCGACTGCAGAGCTCCTGGGTTTCTTCTTCTTCTCCGGCTCGGCTTGTTCAGAGCTCGCACGCTTTGAGGGAGACGGCTTTGCCGGTTCCTCCGTTTCGGGCTCCTTCTCTTCCGAGGCCTGCGCTGCTGCAGCAACCTCCTCCTTGGGCTTCCTTCCGGGCTTCTTCTTGGGCTGGGCTGGCTCAGAGCTCTCAGCAGGCTCAGCGGCTTTCTTCTGGCTCTTGCCTTTCGGCTTCTTCGGCGCCTGTTCAGCAGCACTTCTCGCACTGGTAAAAAGCTGTACAGTTTGCACTTACGGCAAATAGGATTCCCAGGCTCCTGGTCCTGCACCCCCTCCGTCTCTTGCACCGGCAAGGTGGCTGAGGTCTTAGGCGAGGCTTTCTCGTCCTTGTCTGATGGGCCTGGCAAGAGAGCATGGCCTATCATCATCAGCACTAGGTCACTATGCAGGAATCCGCTAAGGCATCTGTCCTGCCGGCGCACTTTGCGTGGAGGGAGCTGCTGCCTGCACAGAAAGCAACAGACAGTGCATGACAAGTGAATTGCAACGCTTGTCATGGCAGTAGTTGGCTTGCGCCTCTGTTGTTGCCGTCCTTGGGTCTGCCGCAGAATAACCCAAGAGGGCGGGCCGGGGAGGGGGGGGGGAAGCTCGGAAGTTTGCTGGTCAACAAAAAGTCCATGCAAGCCAAGCAGCACAGGCTCTTTCTGCGGAGATGATGCCTTCACATCCTGGACGCCGTCCTCTTCGGGCTCCTCTTCCTCGGCCTGGCACGCGAACATCAACATCCGAAGAAAGAAGCACCGCAAGAGAGCAGCGAGCTACATTCGAGGCAACCTCTTCCTCGCCATCATCCTTTGCGGGATACCTGGACGTGTACCAAAAGAACCCTTGAGGCAGAAAGGAGTTTAAAGGGATGCAGCCATCAACTTGTCAAAAGAGGTGCCAACCCCATAGACACTCTGACATCCCGACAAGGGGGCTATAGAAACCTAAAACCTGAAGAGCCACCCTGAATCCAAAGTGGGGTTGCTCGCGGCTCTTCCAGCCATTGGCAACGGACAACTTCCAGCGATGTCCCATGAACTTCAACAGCAACCCTTTCTGTACCCAGACTCCTGAAGTCAGCTGGGGAAGGCCTTTGACAAACTTCTCAACCCTAAACCCTAAACCCTAAGTCAACCACTGCGGCCCCGGCTGTTCCAGGCCGGCCGGTGGTGGCCGCTGTGCCGCTCGCTCGGCGCGCTGCCGGGCGCGCAGCAGCTCGGGCGCCTCGGCACCTTTGGGCTTCGACTTCTTCTCCTCCTATTCTTGCATCAAGCACTGCTGCTACCGCAGTACCAGTGTCTCTGCTTATGCAACAAGTGGCTTTGGGGCTTGGCTGGTGGGCTCAGATGTTTCAGTCTCTGTGGAAGGAATGTCGGTCTGAGGGCTGCAGTCCCGACCACAAGGGCCTTGCGATGCAGCCACGGGAGCCGCCAGCGTCTCACCGCTCTCGGCAGGACCTCCTGTCAAGTCTGTTTTAATTTGGGTAGCATCCCAAAAAAACATGAAATTAACTGCACATCCGGGCGGGTACGAGCGCGAGCAAGATGACCCCACTTTTGTTACCTTTAGACCGGGTTCTTGGCTCACCTGTTCCTCTGAGGCCGGATGTCTCACAGGGTGAGCGATTGCTCCTTCATCCTGGACGCTTTACCCCTCGCCCGTCTCGCGCCTGCACGGCTCCGAAGGCGCTCGGCCAAACTGCGGGCGCCGCGCATCGGGGAGCTGCGCAGCGCCGCCGCGGCGGCCACTGTGGAGGCCTGGGATCTGGAGAACGAATTCGGGTGCCACAACCGCCCTGATGGATGAGGAAAGAGACCTAATTGAAGCCGATTCGTTTGCCATCAGGGCACGTACAGCCATCCCAACCCTGTTTGGCGAGCGGGTGTCTCCTGAACAGCATATGGACAGGCGTGAAAGTGCGCAGCACACTCTGTGCTTTCCTGTGACAATTGTATGGCTGCCTCCTGCAGTTTGGCAGGTTCGCCGACCGGTGCATCTGTCGCCGCTGTCGCGTCGGCTAGCTCAGCTTCAGCCTGGAGCAATGGAGCACCATGGAGCAATGGAGTTTCGAGACTTGTGGTTCGGTGATTCAAGTCTTTCCCATTCCTGCATCGTAGCTTGCGCAGGGGCTGTGGACTCCGCAGACTCGGAATGCGCCAGAGGTCACCGACTTCAAGATGTCGCTGTTCAGCTTAGAAGCTATATGAAGCTCTATCGCATTGCTGCTGCCAGGAATGAGTAAACATGTGTGGAAACTCTAAAAGGTTGATGCGATGTGTGGTCACAACATGTTCGGACGTGGGTCCTGCCTCGGGCTTGTCTGCAGCTTCGCCGACCTCAAACGGAAAGCTGCTGACTGCTACTTCTGAGTCCGAGATGAGGGGATTCTCGAGCGGTGTCAACCCTGCCGCGCCTGCTTGTCCACGACTTCGGTCGCCTCTGTGCCTGCATTTCCTTCATCCTGCCAACCGCCATCCATTTGCAACATCAACGGCCCATAAACCCTCCGGCCGGAGTCTTAACTGCAGACGTCTGCAGGCCCTCAGGCCACAGGACTCCGTGCGTTATGAGTTGCGAGTTTGACGGGAGTTTTGCAGTTCCACCTCTGGGCGCTTCTCAGGTTCTTCAGCCTGCAAGCAGCAAGCATCCCAAACAGCTGCCGGTTGCCGGTTGTCTTCGCCCTGCCCAACCTGCGCCAATTCCGCGTCCTTGGCTGCTGCCTCCTGCCAGTGGCCATCCAAGCCAAGGGAATTGTGCAGAACTCAATTTTTTCCTTGGCATGGTCAGTGGCAGAATCGTAATCCTCGCTGGCATCGTCATGCTCAGGCTCTGCAGCCTAGCGAATGGAGTCAAGCTGCCGTCGCACATCGCGATCACTGCCCGAAAGGCTTGTTCTGGTTACTCAGAACTCTTAGGCTTGTCCATGCTCAATGCTCCAGCTTGCCTCGGCAGCTTTCTCTGCGATTCCAGTCTCGGACTCCTGCTTCATGCGTGCGCATGAAGAAGCAGCACACACACACACACAGACACAGCATGCACAAAGGCGACAATGCTAGGCTGCTCAACATTCCTCTGTGCTGGCTGGGGGGGGGGGGGGGCTTGTTCTTCAGTCCGACTACTCAAGCAGCTAGTCATATGGAGAATACGGAGAACTCCCAGCCCATGTCATCTGCAGAGCCCTTTACCACCTCTGCGGCCATGTCCGCAACAGCTTCGTCCTGACAGTGACGAAACACCCAAATTGCAGAGTGCACATTCTACGGGTTTTCTGCCACCTGCCTAGCAGCCTCGCAACCACACTGCAGGGATGCAAAACGGTTCATGTCGTATGTCATCATGACTCGAAGAAGGGAGAAATGTCGGGTTTAGGGTTTAAGGTTTCGGCGCACTCGGACTCTCCAGGCGAGGCTGTCGGTGTCTCAACGGATGAGGTGATACCACGGGCCGAGCACGTGTAAGGTGGAGGCATTGTCAATCAACATATCCACCAACACTACACTACAGAAAAACCAGCCTCGATTTCATTCCCATCTCACTGCGCGTTGGTGCCCGCTCATCCAACTTCGACTTCAAACGACCAAGTCGAGCTTCCGCTTGAAGGTGGTTTTCACGCTCTCACCCTTTACCGGGAAAGTAATGTTGAACATCCGTTGACCGACAACGATGTCATAGCCTTCTTCTGCGCAAGTGCCAACGTGGAAGGTGCCGCTGTGGTTCGCGGCCTGGAGCGAATTGCCGATGCATGGACACCAGGATGGACACCCAACGCCTCTGCAAAGGCATGGACCGCACCCTGGAATCACGCCGACCGCGGCCATAATGCAAGCATAGTCTGCCGGTTCCAAAGGTCCCCCACAAGTAATGCCAGCAGCTGCTGCAGCAGCCCCACAGCCAGCGATCTCCCAAAAGTCGCAGCCTGAGGCATTGCTCCCAAGGTTGGCGGTCGCAACAGCTCGCGTCTCTTCCTGCACACTGACCTGCGTGCATTCACCTGGGACGTGGCGCTCCACGACAAAAACACTAGAGCCGCTAGAGCCACTTGACGCCGTGGCTGCTGCAGTCAAGGGCAGGATCAGTACTCTCAAGAAAGCAAGCAGTGGCCGTCATCTGACGAAGACGCGCACGGAGTGCAGGCTACAGCGGGAGATACATGGAAAGGCTTGAGCCGACTTCAGCCAAAATGGTTACGGTTTGGTTGAGGGTTTAGGACCCACTTCCGTGGCAGGGCTGTCATCATCTCTCTGCTCATGCTCGGGGGCCTGCAATTGAGCTCGGCTCTTTTCATCTTCCTTAAACGGCCCAAGCTAGTGTCGGTCTGTCTTCTGAAATAGGATTTCGGGCAGCTCAAGTTGGGTTTCGAGGAGTTCGCGCAGGGCTCAGGGCCGAGTTTGGGGAGCAAGCTAGGTCATGGCATCCTGGTCTTCCTCAGCTGTTGGAAGCGCCCAAACAGCTCTAGAAGTTGTGATAATTCCAAGTTGTGCTTTTCGAGGGGTGTAAATGTTCCCAAATGGCACGAGATCTGAGGAATAGGGATCATCCCAGTCTTGCTTATTGTGGGGTGAGCGTTGAGCATCATGGTGATTCACTGGCTTGTGTGGCGTTTCCAAATCTTGCTAATGAGGGGCGAGTGCTTCGACATAGCATAGATGCAAAACGAATTGACGATTCGAAGTCTTGCTTATGTGGGATGGGGGAGGGCGTACACATCATTGCCCATCGAATCCCGAAGCGTTCTCGTTCTTGAACCCCAATCTCGCCTTATATCCTAGCTGTTGTGCTGGAAACAAAATCTGCTCGACAGTCCTCCGCTATCTGGGTTGCTTCCTCCTCCGGGGCGGCCACAGCGACTTCTTCTGCAGCCTGCAGCAAGCAGCCAACACGCAGCCTCCTGTCAAAGCGGCACGTTTGCCTCTTCAGCGTCCACCTGCCTCCACAGCTGTCATCTCCTTGTCTGAAGCTGGCGACTCGTCCTGCAAGCAACCATCATTGCTCCCACATCTGCAAGAGCCCCTCTCTCCTGGTGTTGCGAAACACCCTGGAGCATGGTAGCACAGAGGTCCTCAGCAGCAGCCTCCTCAGCAGCTGGCTCTGCAACCTGAACATTGAGTGGTGGCATGTGGGTGGCATAAGGTGGCATACAAAGCCTTCCAGGCCCTTTAATCCCCCAGCAAAGCACTATGTTGATTTTGGAATGGCAATGGACATCTATGGCACGAGAGGCACACATCATCGTCACTTTGAAGCGCCGTGAACTGTTGTACTTCAGGGGCTCGTGCCTGTTATTGTTCTCGAGTTTGCGACTTGGGAGGTGGTTTGCCATCGGTCAGCATGGTTCTTGTTTTTTGATCTCGGAGCTCTCTCCAGAAGCGGAAACTCCAAAGCCCTGGCCCAACAACTTTAAACGCCCTCTGCCATACAAGCCGAAAGAAATTCCAACGCACTGAACCCAAAAACCTCAAGGCTTAAACACCCTAAAGCATGAAAGCCCTCAGGCCTGAACACTTCAACCCGTCAAACCCTTAAACCCTTAACAACCCTCAACCCTAAAGAGCCGCTTTTCTGATAACCTCAACCCTACTCCCTAACCTTTCAAGTCGAGAGGAATCCCTTGGCGGCCATGTGCTAACGCTGGATCTTTCGTGTCTCTTGCGTCAAATGTACCGAGGTTGCCTGGTCTTCGTGCTCTTCGAGACCCTTCTCCTGCACGATGAGAAATCCACTCTACAAGAGAGTACACATCATCGCCACCCGCACCCTTCCACTCCCGAACAATACCGCTGTTCGCACCTGTTATCGTTGCACAAGCCTGCCCCCCATGAAGCTGGTACTTGGGGGGGGGGCCTTCTTGTCATGTTTCAAGCCACCCGCACTGCCGCACAAGTGCCTTGCAGCTTAAACCCCAATCTTGCCTCGCATCCTAGCTGCGAGTGCTCAAATCAACGACAGTCCTCCGCTATCTGGGTTGCTTCCTCCTCCGGGGCGGCCACAGCGACTTCTTCTGCAGCCTGCAGCAAGCAGCCAACACGCAGCCTCCTGTCAAAGCGGTACGTTTGCCTCTTCAGCGTCCGCCTGCCTCCACAGCTGTCATCTCCTTGTCTGAAGCTGGCGACTCGTCCTGCAAGCAACCATCATTGCTCCCACATCTGCAAGAGCCCCTCTCTCCTGGTGTTGCAAAACGCCCTGGAGCATGGTAGCACAGAGGTCCTCGGCAGCAGCGTCCTCAGCAGCTGGCTCTGCAACCTGAACATTGAGTGGTGGCATGTGGGTGGCATAAGGTGGCATACAAAGCCTTCCAGGCCCTTTAATCCCCCAGCAAAGCACCATGTTGATTTTGGAATGGCAATGGACATCTATGGCACGAGAGGCACACATCATCGTCACTTTGAAGCGCCGTGAACTGTTGTACTTCAGGGGCTCGTGCCTGTTATTGTTCTCGAGTTTGCGACTTGGGAGGTGGTTTGCCATCGGTCAGCATGGTTCTTGTTTTTTGATCTCGGAGCTCTCTCCAGAAGCGGAAACTCCAAAGCCCTGGCCCAACAACTTTAAACGCCCTCTGCCATACAAGCCGAAAGAAATTCCAACGCACTGAACCCAAAAACCTCAAGGCTTAAACACCCTAAAGCATGAAAGCCCTCAGGCCTGAACACTTCAACCCGTCAAACCCTTAAACCCTTAACAACCCTCAACCCTAAAGAGCCGCTTTTCTGATAACCTCAACCCTACTCCCTAACCTTTCAAGTCGAGAGGAATCCCTTGGCGGCCATGTGCTAACGCTGGATCTTTCGTGTCTCTTGCGTCAAATGTACCGAGGTTGCCTGGTCTTCGTGCTCTTCGAGACCCTTCTCCTGCACGATGAGAAATCCACTCTACAAGAGAGTACACATCATCGCCACCCGCACCCTTCCACTCCCGAACAATACCGCTGTTCGCACCTGTTATCGTTGCACAAGCCTGCCCCCCATGAAGCTGGTACTTGGGGGGGGGCCTTCTTGTCATGTTTCAAGCCACCCGCACAAGTGCCTTGCAGCTTAAACCCCAATCTTGCCTCGCATCCTAGCTGCGAGTGCTCAAATCAACGACAGTCCTCCGCTATCTGGGTTGCTTCCTCCTCCGGGGAGGCCACAGCGACTTCTTCTGCAGCCTGCAGCAAGCAGCCAACACGCAGCCGCCTGTCAAAGCGGTACGTTTGCCTCTTCAGCGTCCGCCTGCCTCCACAGCTGTCATCTCCTTGTCTGAAGCTGGCGACTCGTCCTGCAAGCAACCATCATTGCTCCCACATCTGCAAGAGCCCCTCTCTCCTGGCGTTGCAAAACGCCCTGGAGCATGGTAGCACAGAGGTCCTCAGCAGCAGCCTCCTGAGCAGCTGGCTCTGCAACCTGACATTGAGTGGTGGCATGTGAGTGGCAGAAGGTGGCAGACAACGCCCTCCAGGCCCTTTCATCCCCCAGCAAGGCACCATTTTGATTTTGGAATGGCAATGGAAATCTATGGCACGTGAGGCACACATCATCCCACTTTAAAGCGCCGTGAACTGTTGTCCCTGAGGCCTGAAACGTCAGCCCGTGACACCCTTAAACCCCTAACAACCCTCAACCGCAAAGAGCCGTAATTCTGAAAACCTCAACCCTACTCCCCAGTTCGTACCCTTAGCAATGAAAAACCCTAACCTTTCAAGTGTCGAGAGGATTCCCTTTACGGCCATGTGCTAACGGTCTGCTAACGCTGGATCTTTCGCGTCTCTTGCGTCAAATGTGCCGAGGTTGCCTGGTCTTCGTGCTCTTCGAGACCCTTCTCCTGCACGATGAGAAATCCACTCTACAAGAGAGTACACATCATCGCCACCCGCACCCTTCCACTCCCGAACAATACCGCTGTTCGCACCTGTTATCGTTGCACAAGCCTGCCCCCCATGAAGCTGGTACTTGGGGGGGGGGCCTTCTTGTCATGTTTCAAGCCACCCGCACAAGTGCCTTGCAGCTTAAACCCCAATCTTGCCTCGCATCCTAGCTGCGAGTGCTCAAATCAACGACAGTCCTCCGCTATCTGGGTTGCTTCCTCCTCCGGGGCGGCCACAGCGACTTCTTCTGCAGCCTGCAGCAAGCGGCCAACACGCAGCCTCCTGTCAAAGCGGCATGTTTGCCTCTTCGGCGTCCGCCTGCCTCCACAGCTGTCATCTCCTTGTCTGAAGCTGGCGACTCGT